TGAAGCTTCCTTCCGCGCACTTGGCGTCACTTTAAATACTGCTATCCAAAAGCTACATCATAACAGGACATCAACAAGTAGTGATTTTACCACTGCATTGTGTGCAAATATTGAGACATCTCTGAACGAATTAGATACTCGAGAAGCTGTCTAGTGTCTCTTATTCGTTTCGTACTAAACATGCAGGGTTTAACCATCATGAAGGCACACATCTGCTACACCGCTTACCACTACTGAAAATAGCTGAAAAGACGAGACAGCGAGTCGTTCAATCTTGGGAGGTATTGCCTAACAATTTCTAGTTAGGAGTGCTGACAGCTGAGAAGGAAGGAGTGCATGCTTTCGATTCCCTGTTTCTCTGTCAAACTTTTGAAGGTGAATTTACATGAATAGCAAAACAAACAGAGCTCGAGAAAGAGTTTGACCGGCGCAGCCTGTCTGTTCTAGGGAAGGAATTACGGCAGCAATTGCTTAAATGTGCCGCAAGCTTGGCAACCCTCAAAAATGGCTGCGCCGTCGAACGGCATGCCATCAGGCCAGCCCCTCTAGCAAAGGGACCAACAGCCGCAACACCCGAAATTCTACTTGAGTTTTTCCAACATACAAACAGGCAACAACCAGCCTCCGAGCATCATGTCAGAAGAGAAAATTCTGAAAGCCTTAACTCACCTTTCATCGTCACGAAATCGAATGTCAGTTACGCTTGTTAGTACAATCATTGCGGACTCTCTAGGGGCGTGCTTCTTCCTGTCCTCCAACTACTTCTTCCAAAAGACTCGTTCTTTTAAAATTTGGGCCATGAATGACAAAAACAGTAATCCGGACCACATCCTTCGTCAGGAAGACTACGCCTATAATATGGGTGGAGAAACTTATATTGAGTTGGACCCCGAAAGCACTAAGGTGCGGTTATCATTCGGCCTGGGCCCGGGCGTAAGGGTTCAAGGTTGGCCAAGTAAGGGCGGCATATACATTCTCAGGGACTGCGTCCGTCTTGAGCTTGATTTTCTCGAGGTGGATCGCTTCAAGCCCTCTCGACGCTCGGATGATCAAGAGGAAGAGGACGCCCATTGTGAAAGAATGCGCAAGCTGGGCGCGACTTGGTGAAAGAGTGACCAGGCTCTTGCCGTTGCTGAGCTCTTTGGGGCGAAGGAAGAGAAGCATTTGCAAGACCCAGTCATCATCGCCGGATGGCCCGCGAACGGCGGTGTCTGGGTGCTTACGAAACCTCGAATAGAAGCGATCAAGATGGGGACGGGGATCATCAAGCTGGCGAAGGATATGGAAGAGCGGTGTCGTTTGATCAAAGAATTTGGTGGTGCTTTCTACGAAGACGTAAAGGAATGTCCTGATCTAGATCTTGCTTGAGATGCTGAAATCTTCGGTGCCGCTGAAGGAGGTTCTGCGCTGTATGTCGTGTCATCCGTCAACGAATGGTCTTCAGACCGTAGTTTTTGAGAGAGGCGGTGTGGATTTGACTCCTACCGAGACAAATACAACCTTTGGAATGCCCGACTGAATTGTCTACGTATATCTATTCTTCCTATTTCTAAGCTTTTCGCACTTTAAAAGAGCAAGATAATTTCCCCGTTACAACGCCTGCGGTATTTATTCGCTGAAGATGTTGGAAACCCGCAAGTGCTTGTCTCTTCTCTTCTGAACCAATACCAAGCTGCTTCAGTATTTCCATCACAGCAACATAAAGAATCTCTTCGTTGCCATCCTCAACCTTCACGGCAATTCCGATGCTAGAGGTTGCTCCCAGCCGCCGAGTATCGTACGATTCTCTTACGGCAACACCGTAACAGCCATCCGCCCCTAACTTGCCAACAACCGCGCCTTCGTACTTGAGCATCAGCTCTGTACAGAAGGGTCCCTCTCCTCCAACCATCTCTGGGAAGCGCCACATAGCTTCGTACATCTTTGCCAAGTGTCTAGTTCTCTGGCTGACCGAGGAGCTGTCGCGAGCAACTAGGTCAGCTGCGTCCGCGAGGACCGCATAGAGATGACTGATATTGCTGAGAGGTAGAGCCGGTGCAGGAAGATTGCAACCATCAGTTCCCCATTTGATCTCGCCCGGGCCCAGACCGCTCAGCTCATCGAAGGTGCGTCTGACACGTTTCTGGACTTCGTGCTGGGGCAAGTGGTATTCTTCGTCATTGCCAAGTGCTCTGGCGCCCGCAAGCATGGCAATATGTTTTGCAGAGCAATTGTTGCAAAGAGGGCCGGGAACAAAACCTTGCCTAGTCCATTCCTTGTTGACAACCTCGGACATGGCCGCGTGGCTACCGCAACGCATCTGATTTTCTTCAGCCTGGATCTTGGCAAGCATCGAACGCCCTCGCTGAACATGGCGTTCCTCGCTGCTGTGTGACGAGCAAATAAGCGCTAGATCCGCATCGTCGAATCCAAACCTATCGAAGCCTTCTATCTCGCAGAGAGCAAGTATTTGAACTGGCTTCGCGGCTGATCGTGCAAGTGTCATGCGTGACGGATTGCCTACGGCGTACAGGAGGTTGCCGTTGGCATCAGTGACTGCAGCATGGATGCGGTGGGTGTTTTCGATTATGCCGCCCCGATCGGAGAAAATGCAGTCGTCCTGCAACTCGGATCGTGTCATTATGTCCTCGCACAACTCAAAGCCAAGATGTGAGAGTCAGAACGAAGTCGTTTTGGCGTAAGCGGGCGGCGAGAAACGACGCCTAAAAATAACCGAATGATGAATGGTGGAATTTGTGTATTCTGCGCTCGCTGAGTCTTTGACATCAAAGCTTTTATCTTGTTAGCAGCTCAACGCTCATGAGTAACATGGGGTCTGAAAGGGAGGTGGTTCGACAAGTCATCTTCGCGGAGCAGTGCCACAGTCGAGATATGTGGCCGCCGGCGAGCAAGGATCAGTTTCGAAGCACGGCAGCATGTAGAAAATTTTCGTTCATATTCGGTAGTCCCACGAAGACAGTGGCTGAACGTGAGAAGCCCTTGCGGAACGGTTGTCGCCGCAAACAAGCGAAACCTCGGAGCTATGTGAGTCACTCTGTGATTACGGCCGAGCTCTGAATCCACGTTGAACACGTTACATGTTGTACATTGAAAAGCATCATAGGCATATGCTTCTCGGCATTGGACGGAGAGCGAAAGTAGTCCGATGGATAGGAGAGCTAGAAGAGCCCAACTTTTTGTTTAGTCACCTCACGTCCCACTATCACCCTAATACAGAAATAATCTTGTGTCATTAACGCCTTTGACTTCACGGCCTCTGATAGGCGATTACATCCAGTTAAGCTTTGAGGCCTCACAACTGATCGGTCTCTAGTAGAAAGAAGAGTTATAGCATGCGCTGTTGCTCGTATTTGCCCCACACACAGGGCGTACGCACTACATGAGTCTCCCGACGTTGGCAAGCAAGCCGTAGGCCGGGCGAGAGCGGCGGGACACGGCGGCTTTACCGCTGCGGCTCCGCGGAGAAGCTAACTTCAAGTCTAATGCCCGGGGACTAAAGTTGTTGACCGGTAGCTCGAATGAGTAGCAGTGACACGGCAAATCACGGAGTCAACGCTTTCGGTTCTTCCGTAAAATTGAGCGTTCCCCCCCCCCCCNNNCCCGCCGCCGCCGGCCGGCGGCGGCAGGTATGGGTCTTCGTCGGCCACACACGCACTCCACGTCGGGCCGGGACTTCATGAATGCATGTGTTAGGACCACGGCAATCTTTCTTACGCTAGACTGATTCCTTCTTGGCAGCATTGACAAATGTACTTCGACCGTCGAGTCATAGATTCCTAATGACGAATGATTCACAAAGCAAGATTGAGGCCTTCAACTATCTTGGCAGAGTTTAAAAGGCCTGTAAGCCCCTGGGTATCTACACATCGCATGCACCTCCAACCATCCGACACTTCTTTTACAAGCTTACAATCATGTTCATCTCATCAGCTCACGCGGAAGCGCGCATTCCTGTCCTGCGACAACTGATCCGCGACTACCCTCTCGGCGTCCTCACAACCGCCATCACTTCCGAAAACCATCCTCTAATCCTAGCTAGCCACGTTCCTTTCGTCCTGGACGTTGACGATGAGTCAGACGATGCAGAGCTGGGTCGGCTGAGGGGACACTTGGCTCGCCAAAACCCCCCAAGCAAGGCAATGATCGAAGCCGTCCAATCCTCGAACGGTTTCTCAACCACGCTTGAACGAGAAATCCTCGTCCTCTTCACCGCCGCGCCTCATCACTACGTCACGCCCAAGTTCTACACCGAAACCAAGCCCACGACCGCGAAGGTAGTTCCTACGTGGAACTACGCCGCTGTCCAAGCGTACGGTCGCGCTACCATCCACTTTGACTCCAAGTCAGACACAGCATCGAGCTTTCTTTCGAAGCAGATCGACGATCTCTCGAGGCACACGGAGACTTCAGTCATGGATTATACGGGAAAGGGGGACAGGCCCGGACCGTGGAAGGTGGCGGACGCCCCTGAGCGGTACATCGAGCTGATGAAGAAGAACATCATTGGCATTGACATTGTCATTGACCGTTTGGAAGGAAAGTTCAAGATGAGCCAGGAGATGCGGAAAGGTGACCGGGAGGGGGTNACCGTTTGGAAGGAAAGTTCAAGATGAGCCAGGAGATGCGGAAAGGTGACCGGGAGGGGGGGATTCGTGGGTTTCGGAGCCTAGACTCTGAGGGAGGCCAGGTTATGGCTAACTTGGTCAAGGAGCGTAGTGAATTGAAGGAGTCTGCGAAGCAGTAAAAGTCTACCCTAGTACTTTGAGACTATGGGCTTTCACTTCGAATTATCTTCCTCAGGAATTGAAATAGAGATGGCACAAGAATCTCGAGCTTGGTGATTACCTCGGGCTCAAGAAGTCGATGTGTTTCCAAACTGAAACGTTGAAAGTAATCGGAGGAACAGGTCTGCGGAAGAATTGAGCTAGTCTTCTTTACATTGCCGTAGTCAAATTTGGCCGGAGACCTCAACCACGAGGTGTTGCTTTTAGTTTCTAAAGCTACCGATGGTATACCTCCAATGCATTCTGGTTGATCAATTCGATGCCCTTCTTTCGAAAGTCGTCTACCTCTGTATGGCTTGTGACATTGGCATCGAAAACGAGATTCGTCGGGCTCTCCACGGAGTATTTCGGCCAAGCATCAACAATCGCCGGCCTTCCTGACCAGGCATTCGGATCAAGATCGCTTATAAAACTCGCCCAACTGCTCGACATAAACCTTGCCAGTTCAAAGTGGCTCTCTGGCATCCCGTCAAATGGCAAAATGTCCGGCCTGTACCCAGCACCTAGGTAGTTGCGAAACATATATCCGATCTCTTTGAAGTGACCTGCGCCAACTTCAGGCGGAACACCATGCGGAATAGCGTTAAACCGATAAGAATAGGCGTCTAATTCGTGACTAGCCCATGTCGTGGCTGTCTGTCGACGCGCAGCGATAAAGTAGACATCGCCCCAGTAAGAAGCGCTACGGCGAAATTGCGCTCCATATGGTGGTCCAGGACGCTGTTGGCCGAGACTTGCGACCACATTCACGGAGAGATCGTCAGGATACGCCTGTAAGACCTCATCCTGAAAAGATGATGGAAGGCTCGCGAGCGTGGCCTTAAAGTCTTCAGTGGTGTTGATGCCTTGCGGGCCAAGAGAGGCCCCTTCATCACTGTTCGCTCCGGTGATGATTGGTACACGTACAAACTCACCGCGCTGTAGATGTACGCTGCCGTAGTTTTGAACGATATCTCCATCAATGGTCGGGCCCAGGTTTCCGCGCGCCAAATACAAGGCACCCAAAGTGGCGTTCAGCTGTTCGAAGGATACTTGCCGCAAGCATTGTACACTGTCTGACGTGCCGTTGCACCCTGTCTTCGCAACAACTTCGTCGAAGTGGTACTGGTAGGCATTATTACCGTTCTGGGCTGCGTAGAAAATGGGATTCCCAGACTGCAGTATCGCCGCTCGAAAGAGGCTGTCGTTCCTTCCGGCGTACGCGGTTAAATGCAAACCTACACTTGCACCACCAGCCGATTCTCCAAAGATAGTAACTTTGGTATTGTCGCCTCCAAATGCCTCGATATTTTCTTGCACCCAATGCATTGCGAGGCGCTGGTCTCTCAAGCCGATGTTCGTCAGCCCCTCGCCAGCAAGTTCGTTGGAATTCAAGAAGCCTACAGACAGCCGCGCATTAGCAAAGGTCTAAGATTGGGTTCTCGGTTAACATGGACATAGCATACCCCATGCGTGTAGGCGGTAGTTGATTGAGACGCCAATGAATGGCTTCCCGATCTTGACGGATTGGTCTAGAAGAAACGAGAGGTTATAGCGTTGGTCACCGCCACCGCCATTGGTGAAGCCACCTCCATGAATCCATAAACCGACTGGAAGAGTGCTTTCAGAGTAGCCGGAAGGGCGCACGACGTTGAGTGTCAGACAATCTTCTGACTGCTTGTAGAATGTTTGGTCGAGCTAAATACGCTCTTGTCAGCCATCTTAGATTCCAACTTATAGGTAAGTGGGAAGTAATACACCGTATCCAACGCATAACGACGAGTAGGTGAAAGCTTCGCGGGTGCCCTCCCAAGTTTCGTTCAAAGATTGCGCTTGCTGAAACCGCAGGTCCCCAATTGGAGGCTGCGCGTAGGGTATGCCAAGGAAGAAGTCTTGATTGTATTCTGCAGAATACCGTCCCACATAGGTGCCATTCTTGAGCTGTGCTGACGGCTCCTGCGAAGCGCCACCTGCAACTATCGTGGAAAGCGAAAGCGTCTGTAGCAAACCAGCGGTGGACCACATCTCGTCAAACAACCATCGGAATATTAGAAGGAGGGTTTCGTAGGAAAACATTACTTTTATGAGCGAAATCTCACCGCTTAAATCGATGATATCGTCTCTTTCGTCTCTCACTGCCATTATGGAAGACGTTTCCCGGCACAAATTCCCATCGGCAGTTGACTGAGGCAATTTACTGGGGTTGTGACTCGCCAGTTCGGCTGCAGCTATCGCGGCTATGAGGGGAACCTCACCAAGTGTGGAGAATGGCCTACCAATGGTGTTTTAACTCGCATTCGGTTTCCCACCGCTCGACGATGCTGGGTTTCTTCGGGTCATCTTATGACGGCTAAATACGACTGGAGCCTTTGATTTGCGCGAGCCTGGTTCGCGATGCGCAATACATCCTTGTGTACGTTCCCTGGGAAAGCTTCGGCGAAGATAGCTCAAATAAAGCTAAGCGGGATGGTTGCATTGCAGCACATGGGTACGGTTCTTCTCCCATGGTGGCGATCCTCATTACCTCACCTCAATCCAACTTCCCTACAGCATCGCGTCGTCCGCCGTGATGATTGTGTGACTGGTGATCCAACACTCAGTCTATCGACGGCCTGTAGGAATCCCGACAGATCATTAGGTGTTGGAACTTGTAGTCTTGCCTTTGCCTCCTTTGGCAGCTTCAGCAACCTCTTCATTCCAGCCGGACTCGAGGCCACTTGAGTCGAACCCCAGCTAGGCGAGGGCGACAAGCCAGCCCCGATTGCTCTCAACTTCTTGACCGGTCCTCTGGTTAATTTCGACATCGGCTTCTGCGATGTGAGGTTCTTACACTTGACATCTGTCCGTAAGTATGAGCTACTCTGGGGGGGGGGGGGGGGGGANGGGGGGGGGGGGGGGGGGGGGGGGGGGAGAAAGTATGGGTTCGGAAAAAGGTTAGGAAGGGGGTTCAGGCGAGTGCGTTAAGTAATATGAGCGGTAAATAATGAAATCATAGGTCTGCAGGTGGAAAGGACATGGGAAGTTATATGCAAATCGAGTCGTTCAATTTGTCTTTCTTCTCCGAACCTTGACATTTACTTAATTACCAGGTTCGTGGGCTAAAAGAATGGCGGACGTGAAGAAGGAGGCTCGTAAGTTGAGTCGGCACGATTTCCAACCTGCGAGTCCGTACTTTGCACGTCTTCCTGGTTCCCCTTCTCGCCAGAAACGTGAGATTCGAAATTCTCAACCTCAATTTCACCGACATCCGAATCGTCTAAGTCTAATGTTAGAAAACATTCGTCAAATTATGCTTATTGATCACCAAGGGTTTCAAAGCGAGGTCAAATGCAATCCACTGACCATTTTTCTCTTCCTCACGTCGTTGCTTGTCTCTGTCGTCCACCAAGTCAATGATGTCCTCCATGTCTTTGGATCCTTCCGTCATCTTGCCGCTGTCAGACCCAAGAGTATGCTTTCGTCCATGCTCAAAGTCCTCGCTTATCTCCGTAGAGTGCCGCCTTACGGGCAAGGCATTTGTCGTGGGCTGTGGGGGCATCAACTCAACCTGGTCAGCCTCGTTGAAAGCACTTTCTGTAATCCGTTTTCTTGGAGGTTGTTCGTTTAACCATTTTCGTACATTCTTTGAAGCAGTTGCCTCTTTGTTCAGTGTTCGGCTTCCGACGTGATGTAATTCTGGCCTCTGGCTTCCGACAGACCACGGGGTATCGTTGGGGGCAATATCATCAGAGAAAGAATCGCTGGATTGATTGCTTGCTTGTCGACCGCAGTTCCTAGATGAGCGTATTGTAACATTGTTTCGATACTGCGGTGAAGTCGCTCTGTCGGAAACTTCGCTATCTGAGTCATCATCTACCTCCTTTGCTCTTTCAAGATACACCTCCTTTTCGTATGATCTCGTCGACAGTGCCCGTAGAACCATGAATCGGGTTTTTGTCAAGTCGATATTACACTTAGCATCTCCGAACTCTAGAAGGTCGCTTCGTAGATCATTGCTAGCGTCTGGCGATCGCTTCAGAATGTAACGATAAAGATAGGCTCTCAACAGACCCGACCGATTCCCCACGGAACGCCATAAATTGCACAAGTCGAGTATGTACCCCTCAGGACTCGGGGATGAGTACCCAAGCTGCTGTAAGCAAGCTGCTTCCAAGAGAACATCGCCAAGCTCTCTCGCATTTCTTGCAACCATGTGGATCGCCTTCTCCTGCTCGGGGGTAAAGGAGATGGAAGAGCCCGGCTTCCAATTGGGAGCCTCGTCTTGATTTGGCGTGTAATAAATAAGGTCTTGAAAAGAAAGCATTCCACGAAACGCCCCTGTGCTGACCTGGGCTTCCCCTCGTAGATTGGACAGATACCGCGTAAGAGCGTCTTGTCCCCAGCTGGCCGCCGCATCGGTGTTCCTCTCCACAAGGACTTTGGCAATAACCCACTGGAGGTAAGGTCGAGACTTCAGATTGAGAGGGTTCTGGCGCAGGACTTCAGTGGCGTAGTGGTGGGCTACTTTTAAGTACATTTTGGCGGTCTGAAGCTCCTCAGAGTTGTCCGCTGAATCGTCATCATAATAAGTGCTGGCAGCGTCCAAGGCCCACATGGTGAACAATGTGAAGATATCCAGCAAAGCTAGAGATGTCACTTCATCTCCAGCAGCAATTTCCCAGTGATGTTGAACAACCTGGATAACATCTTCTGCGTTCTCGTTATCGGTGGTCAAATACTTATTGAAAAGGCAATGAATCGTTCCCTCTAGCGACTTGACGGCCAGGAGCCCGTAGCACAGGTCTCTAAAGTCCCAAATTCGGTCTTCATGCTGGAGATGTGCATAAAGCTGGCCATATTCTTCTGCAGTATATTCCTCTGTGCTGGCTTCGAGACTAGTTTTGACAACACGCAGATTGTTGGTGAGACATTGCAGCTGAAAATGATCAGATTACCTTGGTTTAAGTATGAGATGGGAAACTTACTTCAGTAGAGTCCAGTTTTGGCCAGTTTCTAAGCAATTTCCGAAGGTCTGGCGTCTTTCGCCATATATTTTGCGCACACGCATCATCGTCAAATTGAAGGGCTCGCTTGCAGATAAAAACCCAGTTGGCGGATACGGCCTTCTGTCCATCTCCTGCAGGATACTCCCTCGCCAACTTGGTGAGCGTATGAACGTCTGAAATCTCCAACAAGAATTGACTATACTGATCCAAGACGTACGCGTTGTCGATGCAGCTTTCGAGATGCTCCTCGAAATATCGCCTTGCCGCCTTGAAGTGCCCAATTCGTCTGAGCCTTGAGAACTCTTCGAGCTCTTCTTCCACATCTTCAGTCATATCCATGTCTAAGTGTAGCGTGATATCCCGACGAGCCTTCGGGTCGACATGCACATCCACGGAATGGGATGGTTTGCTGGGCTGGAATTCTTTCTCAGAATCGATGTCTCTTCCCCGTACCACTTCTCGTTTTTGAACTGACACGGGTTCTCGTTCGAGTTGTGGGACTTGTGGAGGGCTTTGTGGCTTGGGTTCTGGCTGTGGAGGCGCCTGATTGAAGGTTCTTGGGGGCATCCAGTTGTAGGAGTTCGATGTTTGGTTTGCCCCCGATATGTATGGCTCAGAGAATCCTTTCCGACCTCTCGCGAGAGAGATCTGCCTCATCCGGTCATCCCAATAGTCGAATTCCTTTTGCGCCTCTCCTAGATCTAGTAAGAACTGGGCGCGTCTCGTCTCCGCAGCCGCCTTGTCTCCTTCGTTTACGTCGGATCCTTGCGTCTTCCAAAGCTCTCGAATCCTTCGTTGACTTTGCTCTCTTGCAGAATATGCCTCACCGAGTCCCCGTGATACATCTTCTTCTGTTCGGTAGTCTTGTAGATTGTTATGACGAGAGCTGGGCTGCTCTCCCAAGACCGCAACAGACAGACCTTGTCGATCATGTTGGTCGTTGTTTAGAAAGGACAAGTCTGGTCGCGCTAGCTTTGTCGGTATTTCTGGTGGGATTTGAACTCGTGTTACTCGTGGTCTCACGGGAAATGGATTCAATAGCTCGTTTTCATTGCCTGTTGCTTCTGGGTTCTTTTCCGGCTGCAGGCCTGGCAAGTTTGGTTGCATTTTGGCTCCGAAGGCGAATGTATCCCGTGCAGCACGAAGATTGATGTATGCGAAGCGAACCAGGACAATGGCAGCAGCTCCAACTGCGGTATGTTTCGAGTAGCGGGATGCTCAGGCGGGCAGACCTTTGGTAAGAAAGCAATGGCTTGCGTGGGCATAATCAGGCTGCAGATATTAGAGCTGCGAGGGCCCCCGTTCCACCTGACTGAGGGCATAGGCGCCTGACTTTGCATGCAGCTTACCACACAGTCGTGCGGCAGGCTGTACTGCACCCAGCCACTTTAGTGGGCCATGCGGGCTTCGGAAGCCAGTGAATGTGAGGGTCTCGCCGACGGTTGGAGTGGTTTGCAAGATACCTAAGGCTCTGAGAGCTGCCATCCCTTGTTGGTAAAGCTTCATGTAAACAGAGTGGGGAGTTGGTTCCTAATTGAGCGAAGAGCGTCTCGCATGCAGGCCTGCGCCACTACTGCGCATACATGCCTAATAATAATTGAGGGCTCCTAAGACCAATGGTTGAGAAACCTCGTAGCCTGCTTGAAATTACCTCAAACATTCCCGGACTCTACTCCCTTCATCAATCAGACCATTGACAACCCGGCAGCTATTTCGAAGCACAAATGACCAAAGCTGAAGTCGCCGGTACGGCGCATCAACACGGCGTCATGGGCAGTCATCCGATGCCCCTTACCGCTGCTGCTCTCAATCCGGCTAACAAGAGCAATAGGGGCAACTCGAGAAGAAGCAGTGAGATTCATGAGAACGATAACGAGTATCGACAGCCCGTCCATACGTCAAGAACGGCAGATGTTGCCATTGGACCGAAATCGAACGTCAGACGCAATCTGCATCGGCCTGGGCTGAAGATTCGACGTTTTGGCCGGTCCGATTTCGAACGGTTCAATGAAGAGGAAGCTGTTGGCGATCATACATTGCTACGTCGGAGCAGCATTGGCAAAGTCGAGATCGAGTGCAATTATCGTTGGAAACAGGCCCGATGGGGAGTGCTGGGACCGGACAAGAACCCAGCGGGCATTGTGTTCATCGACATCTCTTTTGGGCAGCCACCGGAACACAACCTCAGCAACGCCACCATCCTCATCACACTAAGCGAAGACGAACCTGCCCCCCATAGCAGGTTCGGTCGAAGAAAGCCTGTCCGGACATCATTGGATTCGGAAAACGCCGTGCAAGTTACGGAGTACTTTGGGCCTCACGCCATTTACGGCCCTCGGGGCGTAAGCCTCGAAACCAATGAGAGGTCATTTCAACCCAACATAGGAGCTGGAGGTATTGTGGAAATGGGCGGGGTTGGCACTCGCCGAAACATCACTCGTCAATACGTGGATAGCTGGACTTTCAAAGGGACACAAAAAAGAGCCAAGGACGGCATAGGTTTAAGGTGTCTCGAATGGGAGCTTACAGAGAACGACACCGAGAGGAAGCCACTACACAATCACGTATTTTATACAGCTTTCGCATTCGAACACAGCGGGAGACCAGTCAACATGCGCGTCGAGATCGGGGGACGCCTTAAGAGCAAGACCGAACGGGGGAAGGAACGATTCTTCAGATTTTGCTCGAGATCCGGCGACAAAGAAAACGTTATAGTCACGCAAATCGATCTCTCCACGGCACGAAACGATTTCAGGGAGAAGCTTGATCAACTGGCATTTGGTCTTAACATGGATATGCAGAGAATAAATCTTGAGGCGATCCCCGTAGAGATGCCGGGACCTACTCAGGCGACTTTTCAGCAAGTAGCTTCGGACGCAATACCCGATGCAGACGAGACCATCTTGAACGGCTTGGAGGAAGCCTCGGATGAAGGCATCAACGAGCTGAAGGAGTTTCTATTGCAGGAAACTAAACGGCCGCCGGCTTTCAAGATTTCTCAGCCGGAATTTAGCGGCAACTCGTCCAGCGGCGATGAGACTCTGGTCAACGATAGTAATGATACTATCTCGACCAAATCAGCTGACTCTAATCAAATAGCTTGGCGAATACCCGAGGTTATGGTTCTAGCTCTGATCAGATGGTTGATACTGATGTTGAAAGCAATTGGGACAACTGACCCCGACCTTACTGGCATACCCATCTCCGCACCTACGGGTGACAAGGCGGTTGCGGTTCGGGATATCGCGATCGACCGTGTGAAACCAGGGATACCTAGCAGAAGCGGCCAGCATGTAGAATCAGTCCCAAACGGGACATTACTGGACACCGCAGCGACTCGAGGCGTTTCTGCGGAACTTCTAGTTCCTGAAACGTATGACGGTCGCTTCGAGAGCCATCGAAGGCGACTAAGTCATCTTCGAGTTTCGGGTCAGAATGCCGCCGGTATGGACCTTCGAAGGCATGACAGTAGAGGGTGGCCATAAAAACTGACAGGGTCTTTCTTGCATCGGATGTCATAAGTTCGGTAGACATATCTATCTAATACTTTTACTCTGTAGAAACCACTCAACGTTTTGCTGCTAGAAACACGTATAATCAGGGCTTGCTGGCCGTGCTGTGTGGGCGTTTTGTGCAGCTTTTGAGTTGCAAACGTAGTCAAAGTCTTCCAGTACATCGCCTCCTCTACCTTGTTATTATCACCATTATCGTCTCTGGCTGCGCACATATCTTGTAGAACACAGCCCAGATATTCAGCTAAGCATGTCTAGTTGAAGCCACGACTTCTCCAGGGTTTGCAACACGCCAGCATTCTCCCTCATGGTACGAGAGAGGCTATCGCACAACTTGCTAAGCCCAACCGCCTCATCAATCAATCATTGCAAAAGAACTTCTCAGAGGATAAAGGCAGCTAGCTCCGCCTTCACTTTCTGAATCCTACACAATATGGCCAAAAGAAGGAGTCTGCGACGCAGTGAAGATATGATTCGACATCCTCGCCTTTAAAAACGATCTCAATTCTCCCGACTGGGCAGCAATCAAGTAGACACTTTCGGTGTTGTTTAGGCTGTGTGGGGAGTGAGTGGACTGTGAAGTCATGAATCACCCACGTCTCCTTCACGTGCGACATGGAATTTTGAACATGTTATGCTGGGTGGATCTTCGATGGCAGTGATAATTCAGATTTGTCACATTGATAAATTGGGATTCATAAGAATAATCCTCAGGTGAAATTGGTCGTTTTTAAATAAGTATGGCGCCCTATCTCTCGATAATGCGGAAATATCAAATCCGCGACCCACTTCATCGCGCGTCCTTCAAACTTCGCCCTGCCGGCCTGACAGGCGCGTCTCTTCCCTGAGTCACACCCTCAGTTCAGCATACAAAAGATGTTCCGCCAACTCCTTGTCCGCGGCTTTGCCGAAAGTGGCCTGCAAAGTCTTTGCAGGTGTCACAAGGACGTCAAGTTGATATGTCTCCAGCGCTTTGTCCGCATGTTCGCGTACGGTGCGACGACCCTGCATCTGGTCGCATACCTCGAAGTCCTAGGCTTCTCGGCCACGCGAATTGGTCTGTTCATGGCATTGACTCTTGTTGGCGATACTTGCATCAGCCTGGTTCTCACTTCTTGCGCCGATGGGGTTGGTCGGAGACTCGTCTTGGCGTTGGGTGCAGCGCTCATGGTCGCCAGCGGTGTCGCGTTTGGGTTGTGTGACAGCTTCTGGATGTTATTAGCTGCGGCGGTCTTTGGAGTCATCAGCCCAGGGTATGATCCTATTTTGTTTTCAGACTCTTTGAATAACAAGCTGATCTTTGACACAGAGGCAACGAAATTGGTCCATTCCGTGCAGTTGAGGAGAGTATCGTAGCCCATCTGACCACTGCCGATGACAGAAGCGATGTGTATGCATGGTACAGCCTCGTGGGAGCAGCCGGAACGGCAATCGGAGCCATGGCGAGTGGCTGGCAGCTCAGTCGCTGACTAGTAACTCCGGGTGGAGCAACGAAGCGGCGTATCGAGCAGTCTTCTACGGGTATTCGACGTTGGGTGTATTCAAGCTCGCGCTAGTCCTGCTGCTCAGCCGCGACTCCGAGGCGGAGCCCGAAGCTCACGACGAAGATGAGACAACGCCCATCCTCGGCGCAGAGAGAGCTGAGTCACAGGTTGAGACCGCGGGCTGGAGGCGAAAGCTGCTGCCCGGCATTCAGAAGAGCAGCTTTCCGGTCGTGATACCGCTGTGTCTCCTCTTCGCACTCGACTCCTTTGCTTCCAGTCTTACACCACAGTATGTGAACTTTGTCTATTCGGCTGTCAATAAGAAGCTAACCGAGTGTTCCTAGATCCTGGATTGCCTTCTTCTTCCGGTGGAAGTTTGACATGGACAACGGCCTTCTCGGATCCACGTTCTTCGTATGCAGCTTCCTAGCTGTGGTAACCACATTGGTCGCATCATCTCTGGCGAAGCGTATCGGTAACCTCAACGTGAGTATCAAGCTTCCAGGAAGGCTCCTCCCAGATTCAAACTCCAAACTTACAACCCCAACCAGACGATGGTGTTCACCCATCTGCCCTCCGCAGTCTTCACTGCCCTCCTACCTTTTCCGCAATCCGTCAACGCTGCGATAGTTTTCTTGATTCTGCGGGCTTTGACCCAGTCCATGGATGTGGCACCCAGGGCGGCCTTCGTAGCAGGAATTCTGAAACCCAAGGAACGAACTACAGTGATGGGACTTGTCAATGTCCTCAAGACGGCTGCGCAGAGTGTAGGTCCCCTGGGTGTCGGAGTGCTGGTGGACCGCAACCTCTTCTGGGTGGCCTTCGTGAGTGCCGGATGCCTTAAGGTTGTCTACGACCTGGGCCTGATGGTTTGCTTCCGGAAGAGCGAGAGACGGGAGGAGGACGGCCCGATTGCTTAGAACGTGTTCCGGTGAGCATGGTGGACGGAGCGAACTTGCTACCGTTCTTGATCAATACCACAATCTTTGCCAGCGTAGCCGAAAGTCAGCATCAGCATTCTTCGCGCGTCCGACGTAGTCCACGACTCGATCAATAATGGCCAGAGTTGGCTTGAACGGCAGGTCCGCTTGCATAACAGACGCAGCCAGGTACCGGCGGAAGCGCGAAAAGTCAGGGCCCTGCTCGGGGGAAGCTTCAGGCATGCGATGGTCGTGGGCGAAGATGTCCCATACCCAATGATACTTCTCCCAAAAGCCCTCCAAATTGTAGAGAACCTCCCCTCGCCATACATATTCGTTCCACATCGCGCACGTCTGGTTGCCGGGGATGGGCAGACCGAGGTCCTTAATCAGTTGGTCGGCAAGGAGTATCAGCTTCCAACGGTACGAAACGAAAGCGCCAATATCGATGGTGACGTCTGGATTTGTATTTCCCCATGCGGCGGCCTTGAGGCATTCTTTGAGGAAGGCGCCGTCGCCTTGCCAATCGCCAGGACACGTCTGGTAGAATAACTCCGCCATGTCTTGAACACGGTAATAGCACCTTCGGCAGGAGGCAGGACGAGGGTAGACCCTGGATATGGGGGTTAGGTGTCCATGAAAACACTTGAGCCTGGTCAGTTCGGTCAATCTCTCTGCGTAAAAGAAGACTTCCGGTTTTGTTATTGTCTGGGAGTGCCGAGATTGATCTCTGGCCTTGTCATGTGTTGGCGGCGTCGACGAATTTGGTGAATTTATTGGGCTGCTCATGTTGTCGGGAGATAGAGGAGTCGAACTCTGGCTGACTTTGGTGACGAAACGAAGAAGAACGTGATTGCGATGTCGCAGAGAAGGAAGGTTCGTCGTTGCGCCACGTCGAATTGCCTTAATATAAATAACGTGGGGACATGGATAAACACATGGGCTCTGAATCACTCGGTTCAGTTCGTCTTTCCCCAGAGACTGGATCGCGTGGCCATAACGGGACCACGCGGGTGGCTCAAACTTTCTAGGACTCATGTTCACGCGGTCATGATTATCATCAAGGTTGCTGCAGACCGACCCAGCTATGATCTTCTCGGCAGGTATATGATTGGAGTCCAAAGAGGTCCACCGGTGATCGTGAGACACCTCAGCAAGGTGAATGGAGAGAACGTAAATACCGAGATGGAGATATTTGCGGAAGGGACAACGAGAAGCAGGGCGACGAAGGCAATGAGAGAGAAGATAGAAAAGAAATGGAAATGTGACTGCCCGACTGTAACCATCCCTCTTCTCTGCCGGAAGCTGCTCTGGCTAGACGTTGGTCTATCTGGATCTTGGAGTACGCTCAGAGGCTTCTCTTCTTGTGACTGGAGTTTCGTACGGCAACAGCCGCAGGAGACATGTTGCCCTCACAACATTTGGCCCGTCAATGTAGCGGATGCTCGTTGCCTTGCAGGCGCAGTCTGAACCAACGACTTCAACCATGGCATACTGTGTCCACTCAACGAAAGGGATCGCAAGCATGGCATTGCCGCGCAAGCATCGCTCACGTTCAACGGACACTCTCTTGCAGGCTGGGTAACACGAAGACCCTGGTATCAACGAATTGCAGCCCAATAAGGTAGAAACAAGTCGCGGTGGAAAATCAGGCTGTGGAGGTACGACGGGAATGCGGAATCGGCTCGTTGCCAAGGATTCGACGGTTGCAGTGGCTTCAAGAGCCGAGCGGGATTGGCCTCCTGTTGTGTACCCGCGGTTGCTGTCTGGAGGAGAAAGGACGTGGCTGTACTGTTTCAGACATTCGAGGGGGAGACTCACCGCTTCCCGCGGTCTGGATCATGAAAAATTCCAGTCATGGATAATCGCGATGAAGGAAGCTCTGGAAGCTGCAAGGCAACGTGTGAGGTGAGCACAGAGCCGCTAGCAGCAAGCAGACTGGCATGTGCTGTTGACGAAGCGACAACCTTTAATTAGCGAGAGGACGGCACGAGACGAGCAAAACAACTGGAGCTTTGACAGCGCAACCCACCCAAAAAGTCCAGGCGTTTCTACCCGGTCCACCCCCGGATCTGCACTAATCTGTAAAGGGCTAGGGCGCCAGGAATACCGATAACGATAGCGATAGGATCATCCTTCGACCCTCCACTCTTCTCCCAGGATCCCGTCCGGGCTCCCCTCTGCCACCCCGAAACTCAGGGCTAAAAGAAGTACCCTTCGCATGAGTCTCCGGACGCTTCCCCAACATCCTTACCCACAATGGCGTCGCGATACTCTCCGAAGAGGCTCGACGAGCTTCCGGACGAGATACTGCTGCGCGTCCTGTCCTGTAAGTTCCGCCCTGCTTCGCCGTCTTGGCTCTGCACCCCAGATTTTGCAGCTGACAAGGCCCGGAATCGGGGTTCTCAGTCCTCGAGCCTCACGACTTCCCCGGCCTACAGCTCGTTTGCCGAAAGCTGCAAAAGATCTCCCTCGATAATAGCCACTGGCGATCACGGACATTCGACGAGTCCCCGTTTCTGGAGTCCATTCAGCGTCGCCGCCGCCTGTCCCGTATCGTCGTCGACGACGTCATTGACGAGCCTCTTCTGAGCGCTGCCGTGCATTTGAGCCAAGAGCAGAGCGGTACGGAACCGCCGCAGCACTTTTACGATGAAGAGACGGGGGAACAGCGCAGGCAGAGGGATATGGCCAACTGGGACCCTTCGTTTCCGACTGAGCCGGTCTTCTGGTACAACGAGTACATCCAGCGATATGCGCCCATTGCGACGAGCTGGCTGCAGCAGCCGAGGATTCGGGACGGGAACGAAGAGGATACACTAGACGTCAGGGGGATGACCCTCTACAGTCCGAACCAAAGCAGCAACGAACTGCTGGCCGTATCGCCGCTGGACGATGGGTCCATGTGTATTTGGGACTTGAAGGGGGCTCGTGGGCGCAAGGGGGCCATGGTCGGGAAAAGCCGTGATGGGGTGCTCTATCTCGACGGACCACAGACCATGGGACGGTCTAGGAAGATTGACACTGGGGTGACGGAGTGCATCGCTGTGGACGACTTCTCCGGCAGGGCTTTCGTTGCCGTCCAAGGACATCTGCGGGAGGTCGATCTGAATCGTCTCGAAGTCGCGTCCGAGCAGTCGTTCGAGTGGTCCATCACAGCCCTATCTCCTGCCGCTCCTGGCTTGCCACTGACCGTTGGGACATCACTAGGGATTCATCTTTTCGATTATAGGGCCAGGGTGAGGACGCCGAGGGACATCATCGAGAAGATTGATGTGCTGGCGGTAAATTCTCCGGATGAGTCGCCCTTCGATTCGGATCCGTTACCGGTGTATGCGCCCCTGTCGCAACCCACGCCTCTGAGCATCTTGCATCTGCCGAACCCGAACGACGAGCATTCCTTTTCAGATGATATTTACGTCGCAGGGCGCTTTTCCAATATCCTCCACTACGATCGACGCACGTTCCCGTCGATTGTAGGATCGATTCACTCCGGGGCCAGGCTTTCAAGTCTTGCGTCTTTGCCTTATCCTTTCTCGACGATGGATAGCGAGATTCGTCGAAAGGCGGAGCTGTCTTTGGAGCAAGTCCTGGACTCCAAGATGAAGGCCGGCGGTCGTACCCTCATCGCCGCAGGCGAATACAATACCAAAGGATCGTTGGAGTTGTACGGCCTGTGCCCGCCGCAAGGAAACTCCTCCGCAGCTCTCATGCAGAACTCTACCATGAAGAACCGGCAGACGTCTTCTCAGTCCAAGATCCTATCGGTGACGAATCAGGGCACCCGTATCGTCTTTTCTGACGGTTCTGGCCTTTTGAAGTGGTTTGAACGAGATGGTTTCACCGAGGTACGGCGGCATAAGATCGGTCATAGCGAGGTCTCGGAACGGCCGTCCTTGTTCGCGTCGATGCCGGGATCAGACGATCTTGCCAGAAAGATCTTATCGACACAAACACGCGCAGGGGTGGACAATGTCAACGATGATGACATCTTGTTCTGGACCGGTGAGAAGCTCGGCCTCGTCAGCTTCTCGAGCAAGCCTGGGTTCCAGGCAGACGACTTTGAAGAAGAGAGACAACTGTCGGAAGAAGAAGCGAGGGTTGAAGAAGCAGAGAAACAGTATAACGAGAAGATGAGGATAGCGCTCGAACGCCAAGCGGACGACGTTAGGATCGTGAGGGGTCTGGGACTGGGGCTCCCGGGATGAGATAAGCGATGTGCGTTCTGGCCTTGATAAGGTTACAGAGAAAAGAAAGTTGGGCCAGCGAAGATCATGACAGCAATGTTACGACGAATATTATGAGTAGCAAAAAGGGCTAGCAGATAGAGCATATAAGACAGACATAATGAAGAAGGTGCGCCGTCTTGGATATTCCCACCGTCGAAGATGCCGCTGGCGTCGATTTTGTCAATCAAGTAATATTGAAATTTGCAACCTGTTGGGTCGTTGGGAAGAGGGCACTCCAACGAGCCTTGACAGTGACGATCCGCCGGCTTCGGGACAGGCCGCAGTCAGGGTCGGAGGGGCCAACTTGAGCCGGGCTGGCGCTTAGAACATTTCCACGTTGAGGGGTGAAACAGTCCCGCGCTACACGCGCTGTCTCTGGGACGAACCATGGCCAGACCTTAAATTGACCTTGGGTACACATGAGACTGTGAAGGGCTGCGAGAATGGACTTTTTATCGTTTGGCATGGCACACGCAAACGTAAAACGATATATAGTCCACCAATGGGCGCCGAGGGAAAACCTGATGAAAGCTATGACCTCAGAGCCTTATTCTAGACACGCGGGCAGGCAGGAGCAAGAGTCAGGTCTTTTTTTGGCAGAAACTTCCAAGAAAATCTCCCGCAGCAGGAGGGCGGGATGGACAGGGGGGCGTAAAGATGAGTGGAGCTACCATTCGCCTAAGGAGGAGCGCTAAAGCATCGTGAGCATTACGCGGAACCAGACGCCACCGATTCTCCGGCTTGAGGCTGTGCATGACACGGGAGAACCTCGGTCATTGGCTGACTGAGCCCCCCCAGAAAAGCCCCGCCAGAAATCCCCCCTAAGGTACCAGCTAAGGCAAGGACGTGGGCGCTGGGAACGGGCAGGCTGGGCGTAATACCAGTGTCGTCAGGCACCAGCAGCCAGCACCACCGACCGACCGGGACCACTGCGCCGAGCCAGCCAGCAGACCGTCTGTTGGTCAACGTTTGGATTTGGATCTCGGGCAAGAACCAGCCACACTGCACCTGCGTAATCCCTCCGTCCGCACCGCACCGCAACGTCACTTTCTGGTGCGCCTTCCTTCCAGTCTCTCACTCAGCAAAAAAGCAACTTTTTCGCTCTTTCATCCTACCAAGCGCAAAATATCCTCACCGTTTTGTTTGCCTGCGCGCAACTACACAGAGATACCGGCATTCCCTCATTGAGAACTGCCCAGCATGGTGAGACGCTTGCTTCATGCCCCGCGCGCACCCTATTCCCACCTCCGACTGGCGACCCCGAATCCCCCACCGCCTCCCGACTGCCAGAAGCCACAGAAACTGACCAACGCCCGTGTCATCTCTAGGGTATCTCACGACGTCCCAAGGACAAGTCCGCGAGGACAGGCCCGGCCGGCCCCTCCGGTGCGGCGGGCGGCGGCGGCAAGCCCAAGAAGGCCACCTACGAGGTCACCAAGAAGAAGGAGATTGGCGTTTCGGATCTTACGTTGCTCAGTAAGGTGTCCAACGAAGCTATTAACGAGAACCTCAAGAAGCGATTCGAGGGCGCCGAAATCTACACCTACATTGGCCATGTCTTGGTCTCCGTTAATCCCTTCCGGGATCTGGGCATCTACACCGACCAGGTCCTCGACAGCTACAAGGGCAAGAACCGTCTCGAGATGCCCCCGCACGTGTTCGCTATCGCCGAATCCGCGTACTACAACATGAAAGCCTACCAGGACAACCAGTGTGTCATCATTTCTGGAGAGTCGGGTGCTGGCAAGACCGAGGCTGCCAAGCGCATCATGCAGTACATCGCCAACGTGTCGGGAGGAGAATCGGGCGACATCAAGAAGGTCAAGGACATGGTGCTGGCAACCAATCCTTTGCTGGAGTCTTTCGGAAACGCAAAGACCCTGAGAAATAACAACTCGTCCCGTTTCGGCAAGTATCTGCAGATTCACTTCAATGCGCAGGGCGAGCCCGTCGGTGCCGACATCACAAACTACCTCCTTGAGAAGTCGAGAGTCGTTGGCCAGATCACCAACGAGCGAAACTTTCACATTTTCTACCAGTTCACCAAGGGCGCCTCCCAGAACTACCGCCAACAATTCGGCATTCAAACGCCCGAGACATACGTTTACACTAGCAGATCGAAATGTCTCGAGGTTGACGGAATCGACGACTTGGCCGAATACAACGATACCCTCCAGGCCATGAAGATTATTGGTCTTTCTCAGGCTGAGCAGGACGAGATACACCGCATGCTGGCTGCCATCCTGTGGGCGGGCAACATTCAGTTCCACGAAGGTCAGGACGGTTACGCCGCGGTTAGCGACCAGTCGGTCGTAGACTTCTTGGCCTACCTATTGGAGGTCACCCCGGACCAGCTGATCAAGGCCATCACGATCCGTATCCTCACTCCGCGAAACGGCGAGGTCATCGAATCCCCCACGAACGTTTCCCAGGCCGTCGCGACCCGAGATGCTCTGTCCAAGGCAATCTACAACAACCTCTTTGACTGGATTGTCGAGCGCGTCAACAAGTCTCTGAAGGCGAAGGAGGCAACAATCAACAACATTGGTATCCTCGATATCTACGGCTTCGAGATTTTCGAGAAGAACAGTTTCGAGCAGCTCTGCATCAACTACGTGAACGAAAAGCTGCAGCAGATTTTCATTCAGTTGACCCTCAAGGCCGAGCAAGACGAGTACGCACGCGAACAGATTCAGTGGACACCTATTAAGTACTTCGACAACAAGATCGTGTGCGACCTCATCGAGGCGGTCCGGCCTCCCGGTATCTTGTCCGCCATGAAGGATGCGACCAAGACCGCCCATGCCGACCCGGCTGCCTCTGACCGCACTTTTATGCAGAGCATCAACGGCATGTCCAACCCCCACTTGACCCCCCGCCAAGGCAGCTTCATCATCAAGCACTACGCCGGTGATGTCGCCTACACGGTTGATGGAATTACGGACAAGAACAAGGATCTGCTGCTCAAGGGTCTGCTCAACCTCTTCGGCACCAGCGGCAACAAATTCGTTCACACTTTGTTCCCTCACCAAGTCGATCAAGACAACCGAAAGCAGCCGCCCTCCGCCGGTGATAGAATCAGAGCCTCGGCGAACGCTCTCGTCGAGACCTTGATGAAGTGCCAGCCTTCATACATCCGAACTATCAAGCCCAACGAGAACAAGTCGTACTCTGAGTACAATGTGCCCAACGTCCTGCATCAGATCAAGTACCTCGGTCTTCAGGAGAACGTTCGCATTCGCCGCGCCGGTTTCGCATACAGACAGACATTCGAGAAGTTCGTCGACCGCTTCTTCCTGCTGTCGCCTGCCACCTCCTACGCTGGTGAGTACACATGGCAAGGATCGTACCAGCAGGCGGTCCAGCAGATTCTCAAGGACACGAGTATCCCCAAGGAGGAATGGCAGATGGGTACCACCAAGGCCTTCATCAAGTCACCAGAGACCCTGTTTGCTCTCGAGCACATGAGAGACCGATACTGGCACAACATGGCCACCCGTATCCAGCGCATGTGGCGAGCCTACCTGGCTTACCGTGCAGAGTCTGCCACTCGTATTCAACGGTTCTGGCGTAAGAAGAGAACCGGCGCCGAGTTCTTGCAGCTGCGTGACCAGGGCCACAGAGTTCTCCAGAACCGGAAAGAGAGACGCAGATACAGTTTGCTTGGCTCTCGCAGATTCTTGGGAGATTACCTTGGCATCAACGCAGCAGCTGGTCCTGGTTCTCAGATCAGAAACGCGATTGGCATCGGCAGCAACGAGAGAGCCGTCTTCTCTTGCCGCGGAGAGATCCTTGAGGCCAAGTTCGGCAGATCCAGCAAGCCTAGTCCCCGAATCTTGGTGGTCACAAACAGCAAGTTCTATATCGTCGCGCAGATGCTGGTCAACCACCAGCCGCAGATCTCCGTCGAGCGCTCAATGCCATTGGGTGCTATCAAGTTCATTGGTACTTCGACCGCTCGCGACGATTGGTTCTCCCTGGGTGTAGGATCGCCACAAGAGGCTGATCCTTTGTTGAACTGTGTACTGAAGACCGAGATGTTCACGCAGATGCAACAGGTCATGCCCGGTGGCTTTAGCTTGAAGATTGGTGAAGTGATCGAGTACGCAAAGAAGCCCGGCAAGATGCAGACTGTGAAGGTCCTCAAAGACTCTCAGCAACCTGTCGACTACTACAAGAGTGGAGCTGTACACACCCAGCCTGGCGAGCCCCCTTCCTCTGTCTCCAAGCCGACACCAAAGGGCAAGCCAGTCCCTCCTAAGCCCATCACGCGTGGCAAGCTCATCAAGCCTGGTGGTCCCAATGGCAGACCATCGCGCACTACTGGCAGCCGGCCCCAGCCCCGCCCGGGTGCCTCTTCAGCGAAGAAGGGACCCTCCATTACTCCTCAGATTCCTGCTGCTGCCAGCTCAGTTGTCTCCAACAGCTCCAACAGTTCTGTCAGCTCAGCCAAGACAGGACCCTTTGGCCGTCAACAACAAGCCGCCTCTGCAGCTATTCCCACACACACCAAGCCGGCTGCCGCGACCAGAATGCCCCCTCCCCCTCCCCCTGCTGCGCCTCCCGCGCCCGGCAGGATCATGGCCAAGGTCCTCTACGACTTCGCAGGCCAGCGAGAGAACGAGCTCACGATCCGCGCTGGCGATCTTATTGAGATTGTCCAGAAGGAGAACAACGGTAAGCACACCCGCCCTTTTCGCCACTGCGTATGAGACTAACTTCCCTAGGCTGGTGGCTCGCCAAGCATACCGGAGGTCAAGCTTGGGTGCCCGCTGCCTACGTCGAGGAGCATGCGCCCGCTCCGGTCGTGGCTCCTCGCCCGCCCCCTCCTCCTCCCAACGGCGCGGCTGCCCGCGGCAAGCCTACTCCCCCTCAGCCTCCCGTCAAGCGTCCCGCTGCCGGCCGCAAGCCTGCTCCTACTCCAGCCCGCGACTCCGGTCTTAGCTTGAACGGATCCAACGGCTCCGACAGCCGCAGCAACACCCCCACGCCCAGCCTGGGCAACAGCTTGGCGGACGCCTTGCTCGCGAGAAAGAACGCGATGGCGAAGAAGGACGAGGACGATGACTGGTAATCGAGCCGCCGCTGTTTCTCTGTGCGTGGACTGTCAGGGACGGTACCGTCGTCGGGTTCTTGTTATAGATCTGGACCCCACCCTGGATTGATGCTTCATGATTGCACGACACGATTGCTAGCTACTCTTTTGGCACTTGATGGAGGGATGGAAAAAAAGAAGACCGTGGAAATGCGTCTAGAGTGGCTAAAGCGGCTCATGGTCACACAAAAACCCAAACCTTTGCCCCTTTTTTCAAATTCCTTGTTTTTTTCTCTCGAGTTTCTTTCTGCATACAGGATCAGGGCAACCCTATGGGCGGAAGGGAGGATTTGCAGTCCTGCGTCTTGTGTGCCGACCTTTTTTTGTCTGGTAGAATTTGGAGTCTAGGGGATTCAATGGCATGTGCGAGCCCTTCCTTTGGATGCCCCTCCCCATTGTGTTGGTTTGAGGCGAGGATTAGTATAGAAACCTGGGGAACTATCCCAACAAAAGATTTCTCTATTAAAATTCGGTTTGCTTGTTTGTTTTTTTATTTTTGTGATGTTGTCATAGTTGTCTATTTCTCTCCATCCTTTTGCAGGACCTTTCTCCGACGCAGGATCTCGGCGAGGGGGACGTCTTCGTCATCCGTCATGTCTTCATCCTCGTCTACCCCGAAGTCTTGCAGCCTCTCGCCATCGGCATTCGTCCACCCCGGCTCGCCGTCAGCCCCTTGCTCGTACCCGTCGTCAGACTCCTCCGAGACGAGTTCGTAGTCCGCCTCCTCCAACTCAGCCATGAGCCTTGACCTCTCCCCCTGCCACCTCTTCCTGTCCGCCTCCTGCCGTGACTTGAACGCCTCCAGCTCCTCCTCTTTACTCGCGTACCGCGGCACACGCACGCCCTCCGCGCCCCTCGCCGCCCCGGGCCAGCCGCCCTGTCCCCTGCGCATCTTATCCGGGTCCGGCGGCGGCCACATGCCCTCCGTCCTATTGATCCCGTTCTCGGGCCACTCCCACCCGCTGCCTGTCCCGCTCTTGCTGATGTCGGGGTTGCCCGCAAAGGGGAAGAACCACAGGAGCACGTTGCGCGTGCCCATCGCCTGGGCGAGGTTGTCGAAGATGCCGACGTCGTAGGGGAACTCGACCTTTTCGAGGCGGAGCTTCTTGCCGTCGGGGCCGTTGACGGACCAGAAGTCGCCGCTGCTGTTCTTGGAGGTGCGCTCGCAGAGGGCGGTGTGGCGGTCGAGCTCCCAGCCCTCGATCATGGTCTCGTTGAGGACCCAGCCGCGCAGGGTGGAGAAGAAGAGGATGAAGAGGGCGAGGGAGGTGAAGAAGGTGACGAGGGAGAGCAAGGTGAGGTGGACGAGGACGGGGAGGGAGGGGCCGAGGTAGGAGGGCAGGGCGCGGTGGGCCCAGAGGTCGGCGAAGCGGAGGTAGAGGTGGCGGGCGAGGGTCCAGAGGGAGAGGTTGGTGTAAAGGAGGAAGCGGAGGAAGTGCGGGAAGGTTCGCATCGAGACGCAGTTCGAGGTCCAGGGGCACTGTCCAGGGGATGATGTTAGAATGGCTGGCAGAGAGGGAGCAGTTGGGCTTACATGGTGGTCCATCCTGGGCACGCAGCGGCGGCATGAGCGGCAGTGGTGCGCCCGCGGTGGTTTGGGCGCGGAGCACTTTCTGCACCAGCGGCGGAGGAGGCCGTATTCATCTGGCTCCGGGACCTCGATGACCTCGTCGGGAAAGGTGTACCGGCCGGGGTCGACGGTGCACGCCTTGTAATAGGTGTACCACAGACATAGCAGCAACGTGTTGAAGATGTAGGTTTCGGTCTTGGACAGCCGGCCGGGCGGGAGGGAGTCGTCGGCGACGTAGAAGAGGATCTGGGAGGAGTAGGCGAGGAAGGCGATGAGGAGGCAGACTGCCGGGACGGCGAGACGTTTTACTATGGGGGAGTCATTGAGGCCGGACATGTCTGCGCCATTGGGGGGATGTCGAGTGTTGAGCAGCAGTAAAGTTAGGAATTGGTCTTTGTGGTGGAAAAAAGATGGGTGTGATGTCAGCCCACGAAGATCGCCGTGGATGCCGGGCGCGGGAGGACGGGGATTACGGAGGACGGTCCTTTGGAAGTGGGTATTCCACACCGTTGCGTCCCAGTCCGCCAGCTGCTGTCTCGTATGCTCCAGGCAGAAAGGAACGGAAGGAAGCTTGACGCGGTCCAGGGGTGGCGGAGCCAGGGTGGGCACGCGTCGTTTAAAGGGGGTTTTCTTCACATCCCTCCACCTCGGGCGTGCTGTGCCGTTGAACTGAGCTTATGTAATTACAGATCCTGCCCGCTGGGGGACCCGGGCCACCCCCTGGATCGGCCCAGGTCAGCCCGTTCCTGGCTCTGGACAGTGTTCGCTCCGTGTTCCATCCGTAAAGTTCGTCTTTCTATGAAAATCCGGCGGAGTGTTCGGGCTTCTCGGCAAGCTCACCTTGTTTCCAATTGACTTGTTTGTTTGTCTTTCAATCGACATTTCTCTCTTCGTTGGGTTTGTTTGATGGCAGCAGCTGTGGAGGCTTGAACGTTCTTCCCACCATCTCCTTTCCGCGGTGATGGCACGCGATGCGCATGTGCATCTTACGGCGCTTTGGTAAGCGATTTCTAAAAAAAGGGCCCGAGCAACGACGTTGGAGTTTTTATTTTTGGTTCTGCTTATTAGTGTGGAAAATGAATCATTAACTAACGTTTGGTGATAGTGCTGTTGTGTCGTTTCTATGGATTTCGTATAATTTTGAAAGACATTCTTTGGTTGGTAAGAAGCGTTTCGCGCCACAATGTTTCACAGGAGGCTGACGTGTACTCACAGAATGGCCAAGGTTGTCTTCAGTTCTGATATTTTTGATATCCGGCGGATTGACGTGGGGCTCGAGTTACTTGGCGAAATGGCTGCCGGGTGCTGATGGCAGGTTTGGTGAGTTTGAGAAAGGGGAATCTTGAAAAGAGGGTGAGGATGAGACTGACCTTCGAGCAGATGAGGCGGCGCTGAAGGGCACGTTTGAGGCCTCTGTCCCCGCCAGACCGAGGCGCTACTATGTGCCGTTGTTGGTCTTCATGGTCTTTCTGAGGTTGGAGGTTTTTCACCAGGTTACGGCGCAGTTGCAGTGCTCCACGCCGGGAGTCCAAGTACGTTGACCAAATATATGTCGTGGGATAAAATTGACCGTGCGACAGTCTCTTCTGTGCACGCTGTTGGTGTTTTACGACATCTACTACTGCCGAAGACCGCTTCCACCTCCAGAACGCCCTCTCGAGCCATGGGACAGTACCTGGGAAGACGTCAAGAGATGGCTTAATGGTGCTCATGTCACCATGCTTCTGAGTGCTCTAATTCTCGGCTACGGAACATTTCTCGCCGTCGACCAGGAGCCTCCTTCGACGTTCTTCTGCTCGACTCTCCTGGACAGCCGGGTCCTGACACTTGCCCTCCAACTGCTGGGGCTGTTCCTGGACGCCGCCATCGCCATCATCCTCCACCGGATCCTCTCGTGGACAAAGACGACGAAGCTGAGGCTGAGAACCCTCGGCGTCATCCAGGCACTGACCGGTGTCTTTATCAAAGTCTTCCAGATTCTCGCTTCTCCTTTCATCTCCACCGATGAGGGATACCCCACGTCCATCAGGGGCCTCGACTCGCTATACTTCTTCGACATTTTCATCGACAGCTTTACCTTCACCGCGTTGATCGGCTCGCTCGCCATCCTCGTCTGTGAGACAAGTCCCTCCGTCCCGGCCAGCGTCATCACCTTCATATCAGGAATGTCAGCATCCTACCAAAACGTCACGCGCATCGGCCAATGGCAGATCCACTCCAAGTTCGCCGCCATCCTCCCGCTGTACTTCATCGCCTCGGGCTTTGGCTCCCTCTTGTACACCGCCAACATTAGGTCCGTCCTCTTCGTCCGGAGGGTCGTCATCGTCGTTGTGCTGCCGTTTTTCCTCATGGGCATGACCTTGTACGGCGCCCTCAAGCCGGACACAGTCAAGGGGCATCCGCTCGAGAGGGAAATCTACAACGCCAGAGTCAACGGCGACAGATGGCTGCGCCAAGCCTCGACCAGTGACAGCCTCCGCATCGCCGCCGAAGTCTACCAGGAGAGACACTACGGGCGTCTACCGCCGCCCAACTTCGACAAGTGGTATGAGTTCGCCAAGGAACGCAAGTCCGTCATCATCGATCACTTTGAGCAGATGGAGAGCGACATCCTTCCGTTCTGGGGCATGAAGCCCGAGACGATCCGCAAGGCGTACGACGAGAGGATCCCGAAGGAGCCGCGGATGGCCGTGGTCACGATCCAGGACAAGAAAGCAATCCACAACTACATGTGGGACGACGAGAACAAGAGAATGCTCGACGCAATGATTGACATGATTCACGGATTCGTAGAGCATCTTTCAGATATGAAAATACCGATTAATCTGGCCGATCAACCGAGAGTCCTGACTCCGTGGACAGATTTGATCAGGTACACCAAGGCTGGCAGGAACTCGTCCAAGAAGTTTAAGTTGCTATCTTCGCGGTCCGAGGAGTCTTCTGGAGGACCGCCTCCCGAGCCTCCGAAGCCAGATGCTGCGCCTGAAGGCCAGAAACAAGAAGAGCCTCCCAAGCAGGAGGAGCCGAAGCAGGAGATCCAACCACCCGCCCAAAACCAACCCGCAGAACCCCAACTGGGTCTACCGCCCGCCGCACCGCAATCAAATGCAATGGCATACGCCTCCACCAAAGCCTTCCGCGAACTGGAGGCCTCAGTCTGTCCCGCCGACAGCCCCGGCCGCTCAGGCCTCCACTGGAACATCCGCGATTTCTGCTCCGACTGCGTCAAGTTCCACTCCGAGGACCAGTTCATCTTCAGCTGGGCCGAGTCCAAGGCCCTCTGCGACCAGCAGGACATCACCCGCCTGCACAGCTTCCACCTATCCGCCCCGAAGATCGACCCGATCCAGGAACTCATACCCGTCTTCGGCAGGTCCAAGGCCGACGGCTTCAACGACATCCTCATCCCCCTCGTGCCGCCGGAGGACGAGGCCGGCGACCTCAACAAGCCGTTCCGCCAGCGCAAGGACGCGCTCTACTGGCGCGGCGCGATCGGCGACCGGCCCATCAGCGACGAAGCCCTCCGCGGTAGCCACAAGAACCGGCTGGTGCACCTCGTCAACAACGCCACGGTCGTGGACGAAGTGACGATGCTGCTCGTCGCGCCCGCGCAGAAGAACTACTTCGCGTACGAGGCCGTCCGCGCCGCCGAGGCCAACGGCATCCTGCCCTTCAACATCGGCATCGCCGAGTACGACTGCCAGGGCCCGGCGTGCGACGTCGCCCGCGCCGAGCTGGGACAGGTGCCCGCGGACGTGGACCCCCTGGAGCACCGCTACGTGTTCCTCCTCGACGAGGACTCGGCGCCGCCGCCGGACTTTTTGCGCATCATCCGCTCCGCCGGCAGCGTGCCCTTCTTGACGTCGGTGTTTGGGGAGTGGTACTCCGAGCGGCTTATCCCGTGGCTGCACTTCGTGCCAATCGACCTGCGGTACCACGCGCTGCACAGCACGCTCGCGTACTTTGTCGGGCTCAACGGCAAGGGCAAGATCAACGGGCGGGCCATCGAGACGGAGTCGCGGTGGGAGGACGGCGAGTGGATCGCCACGCAGGGGAAGCGGTGGGCGGAGCAGGCGATTCGGAGGGAGGACATGGAGATCTACCTCTTCCGGCTGCTGCTGGAGTGGGGCCGTGTCGTGAGGGACGATCGGGATAGCATTGGTTTCCGGATGGACAAGGCGTAAAAATGGGGGTATCTTCTGTAATAGTATATTTATTTTTAAAGTGAAAAAAGTGTGTCATGTGTTCATCTGGTTATTTGGGCATGAATCGTGCTGCTGCCGGGTTGACAAGTTGATTTTGAGGCGCGTCTGAAGAGATTCGGTCACCGTTCATTGAAACCGACAAGAACATGCTGAAACCTGGAAACTCAATCTCTCGTGGCTGTTTGAGTTCACGTTGCCTTTGATCGAATACAGCCGAAGTTCCGATCGTTAACTCGGGCCGGCACCTCACCGATCATCACCTCATATCCTCGCCAGGCAATCACAACCTCTGGAGAACAGATTTTCAAGGACCACTGCTGTTGCAGGACTATCTCATCGATGAGCCAAGAGTACGATACGGTATTGGGCTTGCAACGCATCATCAGACGGCGAGTGTTCGACGCCAGTGAACAACACGGCATGCTTGACTTCCCACCACGGGTCGATCAGTGTGAATACGACACTGAGAATGCCATAGAAGCGTCGATCGGTCTCGCTTCGCAACGCAGTTATGATTCTCCAAAGAGAAACAGGGAGAAACCTAGTAAAAGTGTGTCTCTTCGTCAATCAGCCCAGGAACACGCGTGGTTGTTAGAGTCGTCCATGACGGCGAGAACGAAAGCGGTATGTCGTCCGGAAAAGTGGGGATACCTTCCCCGACGGGTCCGGCACCGTTGCGGCTTGGTCCACCGGCGGCCTCGTGGCTTGCAACGTTCCGAACAGCCTCAAGCTCATGCAGCGTCAACATGAAATCCCCTGCATTCGTTCTTGTCGAAGTCAAAGGACCACGCATCCATACGCAGCAAATAAAGACAGCTGTTCCGCCCGGAAGCAGTTCTTTGCAAACCGAAGCCAGGAAAGGAAACAAGCTCGCCACAAAACAGAGCCCCTGGATAGGTTGGCTGCCTTATCCCGTAACCCTACCTGACCTTACCGAAGGGTGGGCGTTGCCGGGCTGTCCCCAAGACTGATCAAACAGGGGTGAGTCGTTCGGGAGGTGGTTGAGGATGAAGCTTGTTTCAGAGTGACAGGCGGAAGCAGAGTGGAAATTCGGCGGTGGGCGGCCTCGTGAAGAGGCTTGGATGCAAGACGCTTAGCAGAGCGACAGAAAGTCAGTCAAAGGGGCTGAAAAGAGATTGTGTAGGCGAAAACTTCCCTGTAACTGTCCTCGATCACGAGCCGGGAAAAAACCATAGCTGCAGATGTTGTGGCACCATCAAGTGCTTATCATACCGGGCAGTACCTCAGTGCTTGATGCGGCGGCGCGGTCGCAGCTTGGGTCTACCTTAAAACTAGACCCCCCGAGCTGCTCCTGATTGCTCGCCTCCGTGTCTGACGTTATTGTTCCTAGGCAGCCTCCTTGCCAGGTAGCCCGGGAGACTCGGATGCAAAGTACCTTTCCGCATTGCGACGGTGGAGTGCTACGTGGCCCAGTTGTATCTCCGCGAGGGGTGTGCCTGCCGGCCGCTGCCCAAGGTGCCTGAGAAATGCTGAAGCTGCCCTGGCTTCCGCGACCTCCAACGCTAAGCCCGCGGCCTAAGCTTAGCCCCTCCCCCTCCAAACATTGTACGGCCCAATGTCACTTTACCCCGCCATTTCTTTCCCAGCAGGGAACAAAGACCGCCGATTGAACCTGACCTCAATCCCCGTCGAAGCTTCTGCTGTGCTGCTGCCGCCGCCGTTACTGCTGCTGCGAGAAAGATTGCTTACATACCCACCGCTCACCATCTCCGTCCTACTGCTACATCCCACCTCTTCAACCTGCCAAACGTCACAGTCTTCCATCCGTCTACAACCTCTCACCCACCCCGATCTTCGTGCCAGACACACCATAGCTCCATCCAAATCCCCATAGACCGCCCGGCGTAGCCAAAAGCGCCTTCTCTCCCTCCCCCATCCCACCTCCTCCAACAGCGAGCTCCGCCATACCCCGCGCGCGACACATCGTCCCAATACAGCCCACCCGGCATACCACCTCCAAACCTCACAAACCTCGAAAACAGATAACTCCATAAACAACAGCCTAAACTCCAGCAAAAATGGTCGACCGGCCCAACAAGCCCGCCGCCCTGGCAACCACGCCCGGCCTGCCGCCCCAAGCGACCGTCAACATCACCCACTCAAACACCCGCGTAACCGCCACCCTCCCCACCGGCGAATCCGTCTCCGTCCTCCTCCACGGCGCCACCGTCCTCTCCTGGAAGTCCGCCTCCGGCCGCGACCGCCTCTGGCTCTCCGAGAACACTGTCTTCGACGGCACGAAGCCCGTCCGCGGCGGCATCCCTCTCGTCTTCCCCGTCTTCGGCCCGCCTTCTGACGCCCACCCGCCCACCGCCAAGCTCTCCCAGCACGGCTTCGCCCGCTCCTCCCGCTGGGAGTTCCTCGGCAAGTCCACCAGCGAGGGCAGCGACAACTCCTCCGTGAAGCTCGACTTCGGCCTGTCCTCGGCCAACCTCGACGATGAGACCAAGGCCAAGTGGGGGTACAAGTTCGGCGCCATCTACAGCGTCACCCTCGACCGCGAGTCTCTCTCGACGTCAATCGTCATCACGAACGAGGGCGAGGAGGCGTTTGACTGCCAGGTCCTGCTGCACACCTACCTCCGCGTAAACGTACGTTCCCTGTTTGGTTCGGCTATTCTCACCGCATACTGACTCCTTGACCCCCAGGACATCACAAAAATCTCAGTCCAAGGCCTCGATAACGCCCCGTACACCGACAAGGTCGACGCCGGCGCCGCAAAGACCCAGTCCGGCGATATTACAATCACCTCCGAGACAGACCGCATCTACACGCCCCCCGCCGGCCCCAAGGCCCCCGTCACCGTCGTCGAGGCCGGTGAGCCCGTCTACTCCGTCGTCCGCGACAACCTCGACAACGTCGTCGTCTGGAACCCCTGGATCGAAAAGGCCCAGGGAATCGCCGACTTCGCCCCCAAGGACGGCTACAAGAACATGCTGTGCGTCGAGCCCGGCGCCGTTAAGGGCTGGCAGAAGCTGGAGCCCAACGATGCCTTCGAGGGCGCCCAGGTCATCACTGCGTTGTGAAGGCAGGCGCTGTCGTTCAAGTCTGTGATATGACGAGGGGGATGGTGTCTGGCAGTCGGTATTCGCCAGGACGGACCGCCAAAGGGAGAGAGGCTCACACATGAAATTTCTTTCGAAATATCACGGGGACAACCCAAATCTAGGAAATGCCAAAGTTAGAGGGGGGCTCTTTAGACGGCCAATCTACGTTTGTGTGTTTGCGAGTGTGTTCTGCGCGAGGAGGACGGGGAGCAAACAAACGGTATCATGAACCCAACCAGGTGAGGGCGGTGTGCGGGCAAAGCAGGGCCCGGAGATTTTACTACCCTTTGAAATACAAATCACGATTGAAACGGCCCACGCCATCAAACAAGCTTTTATTTTACAAAAAGAATGATTCACACAAATGAAGAATTAGTTCAGATCCTGGTTGAATTATGTTTTGATTTTCATTATTCTGGGTGATGGGTGGGGTTCATCAACACCTCAGATGCATGCTGCGCGACAATTTTCCTGGAATACACAATGACGACGAATGGACCCTTGCTTGCCCTTCCTCCACCGCTCCCCCCCTCATGCCATGGCTAGTCTTTGGGTCTCCTCCAAAAAGAGAACCAAATTTCTTCCTTTTTCGTTCAATCAAGAAAAGAATACGTTGCAGCTACCCTAAGTCTCTCCCTCTCTCCAAGGCCGATGAACCCAAAAGATCTGCGCCGGTAATGCAAGAACAGTTCGTGATGAATAATGTTGGTGTGGTTGTGGTTTGTGTGTGTCAGGAATATTGACATATCCCCGTGGGGACGTTGATGGGAAAAAGAAAAAGAGACAATAATAACAATAGACAGTGGTATTTGATGTGATGGTATTGTTCAAGCTCGTCCGCGAGCCTCGGCGGCGAAGAGCTCGCGCTTGATGTCCATGAGCATATCCTCCATCTTGTAAACCTCGTCGCGCGACAGGGATGCGGACCGGAGGTTGGCGAGGACGCTGCTGAGTGAGCTGAGCATGTTGACGTCCTTGGCGGGCTTTGCGGGGGTCTCCTCCATGCCTGGGGATGTAGGTTGTGGAGAAAGAGATCCTGAAGGAGGCTGGACGTGAGCCGGGGTAGACGCGGGAAGTTGTTCAGGAATTTCGACCTCCATGGAGTCTTCGAAGGCGGCGCTCGGGGTGGGCTGCAGCTCCATGGGCGGCTCCTGAGATTGGCTTTCACGGAAGCTTGCCTCCTGTTGCTCGGCGACAACCTGGGATTGAAGCTCGGCTTCATAGTCATCGCTGCGAGATCCGGTGGACCGACGCGAGGGTGTGTCGTGTGGACCGGGCTGGACGTCCTGGGAGGATGATCCAAGAAGGGGAGACATCATTTGCGAAGTCTCTACCTGCGAAATTTCCGGTTCGGGCTGCGACGACGAGACGACTTCATCGGCGTTATCGACGGAGCGGCGCTTCTTGCGGCGGGTGTCGTACTTCGACGAGCCCCTCTTACGCTTCTTCTTTCCAGACTTGTCGGGGGATGAAGCCGTAGTAGAATCAGCCGGAGTGGCGAGAGCCTCTTGCGAAAGGGATTTGCTCTTCCGGGATCGGGTCTCCACCTGGGACAGAGCAAGTTCCGCCGGCTCATCGTCTTCAATTTCTTCCTCGTCCGAGTCGTCCTCGCCGCCAACAGTGATGCAGTCCAGCACAGGTGTCTTCTGCTTCTTCGTGCTCCTGGGTGTCCTGTCAGCTCGGGGAGGTGACACTGCAGGGTAGTCGTTGATCGGGAGGTCGCACCGCCTACGGTCGAGTTCCACCACTAGTCTCAACATGCTATTTTCATCGCCGTCACTCATTTCAAAAGACCGGTTGTTAGCAGCGTTGCGCAAGGCGGAGCGGGTTAGAACGTTGGGCGCAGGGCTGGAAGGAGCGTCAACAAACACCTCGCCGCCCGACCTTGGCTCGTCCATGTCGACCGTCCGGGTGTTCTTAGGAGTAGAGGGAGTGCCTTCGGCCTCATTTGCCAGAGCAGACTCGGTGTTGATATCCTCGGATTCATGGGCCTCCGGCGCCGTCTCGAACGCAGACGGAGGAAGTTCGGGTTCAGCAACGCTGGAAGGTATCATCTGGAATGAGTCGTCGACGGCGGAGCTCAAGTCAGGACTGGCTGATCTCGAATCTTGCTGAGGCGCGACGTTCTTCGACAGCTCGAGCTTGGTAGGCTCCTCCATCGAGGTCGCAGCCTCCACGGGAGGTGAGCCAGAAACAGGAGAAGAGCTGAATTGCCAGTCCTCCAGTTCACTGCGACTGCTAGATCGCGACTTGATCTGGGAGAGTAGAGGGAAAGGACGGGGTTCAGGTGGCGAAGATGGCGGGTCTGTCATGTCATGATCGTGGTCTTGCTCGGCAATAGCAATGGCTTGGCCTCGTCGAGGGGTTGGGGTTGAGCTGACGAACTCTTCGTAGCGCTGGCTTCGCTTTGGCGTGACATCCTTGGGAGTCTCGGGGCCCTTCGCTGGAGCGGCGTCAGGCTTAGGAGGTTCATTTTCCTTAGACTGAGGAGCAGGGCTAGAGCGCATCTCAGGGAACATTGCTGAAGTGTCCTTCTGTCTTTCCCGGATTTCCTTCTGTCGCTCCGTGAGAACTTGCGATTCCGCGTCTGTGTTGGGATTCAAAGGCGACATCTCGATTGGCGCAAATTGTATTTGTGAATCGTCGTGCCTCAAGCGAGCTGTAGGAGTACGGGCCTTGCCACGCGTTCTCTTGGAGACCTTTTGGGCCTTGAGCTTCGCAGATGAACGCTGTATCGAACTAAGTGGAGAAGACTGGTTGGACACAGACCGGAGCTTCTTGCGTGACGAACGCGTCGATTCGACACTCAGCATTTCGATGTCGTCCTGAGACTCAACGAACGACCGATTCTGCCCAGTAGACGCGATGCTAGCGACTTCAAGACCTGGCAAAACAATGTCGACCATGGGCTGTACAGAAAGCAGTACAGCCTTGAGGTGCTCGGGATACTGAATGTTCTCTGCGTTTTCGTACAGACGATTCCATGTCTCTGAGATCGAGTTGACAATGTGTCGATGCTTGCTTTCGAAGGCGGCGCAAAACAATTCCTCGTACATATCCAAGTGAACTTCTTCCGGCTTGTCACCTGACAAGATGATCTTTGCGATGGTGTCCCACAGCAACTTGACCTACGCATGGTTAGAAAAGTATTCTTTATTCCATCAGTATGGTGACTTACTGCTTCCGATGATGCAGGGCTCTGCCGAGTCTTGATGATGCCCTGCGAGTCCCGAATCCACATGGTAAGACCACTCTCCAAGTTGGCCACGGCCTTTGGAACAAGCTCTGGGTTGCAGCGGGACAAAAAGCCGGCTGTTTCTCTCAGGAAATTGGCGACATTTTCATCGAGACTTCCATTCTCGCCATTCTCGTACAGACGCTCCAATAATTCACCGGTCAGCTTGTACAAGTAGTCGAAAGGGTCGAAGGATAAAGATCTGGGGCCGGTAATAGCCGTGCCCCATAATCGTCGCCGAGCTGCTTCAAGAGCTTGTCTGTCAAGCGGATGACTGGCAACAGACAGCAACTCCGTTGTAGCTACAATAGTCTTTGAGGGAATTGTCGCGGCACGTTCTGTGGGAAGGCTTTCCCGAATGACCTTTGCGAGTGGTTCGATTGCTCCTAGGGCTCGGCCAGCTTCGCCAGCTTCCTCGCTGGATCTGTTAGACAACAGGGAGTAGAGTGTGCACCAGTGTTGCCAAGGCAAGTTCGGCGCCTCCTTCCATCCGCGCTCAAGGAGCCGAACTACTGCACGGTACTCGGGACCAAGAATCGGCTCGCCAGTTGAGCTGTTCGTCTGGGCACTATTCTGAGACATGTTGAGAGTGGCAACTAGGCAATCGGAGGCAAACACCCATGGCGCATAGGGTACTTGTGCATCTGTGGGTGACCAACTGGGGGGAATAGATAGCATCTCCTGGGCAAGGTCAGAACGGGCCTTTGGTGATTTGTTTGCAAAGAATGGCGTGAAGACAGCGCGAAAAAAGTCGACAAAGTCCTCGTTATCGGGAATACCAGGAGGAAGCCGTGACACCAAGCCGAACAGATGGTGGAGGGGGGTTCTGGTGTCTCCAGAGGTCTTGCCGGGCTTGTGAGAGGGTGTTGAGACAGGCGTAAAGGTCTGAGTCCGTCCTAGTGAGATCATCTTCTCGGTGAAGGGCAGCAGACCCAAAGCTTCAACTGCTGTTGTGATGAGCTCCCGCGCACTTCCCAAGAATCGCACCACCGTTTCTGAGTCAGGCTCTTTCATCTCGCCCAAACCAGTCTCCCAATGCTTCAGCAGAAGGCCGCACATCTGCGAAAGGAAAGCCGTGGTGTCAACGGAGACTTTGATCTCCTTCGAGCAGGCGGATGCAACCGCTCCCACTAGGGTGCGCCATAGCCGATTTACTAGGCTCTTCTTGTCCGCGAGCTCGAGGAAATGCCTGTCCATGATGGGGTCCATGACCTGGAAAACACTGGCTGCGTTGCGTCGAAGCCACTTGGGGTCGATAGATGGAAGCTCTTCAGGTCGGGCGAGAGTCGTTTCCTTAATACGATCTTCCCTCCAGATTCGGTGCGTGGATGAATCGAAGAGACCGATCAACACCAGGGTCATTTGCCGCAGGTGCTCATCGACGATGTCAGGATTCCGCGCGGATACCTTGGGGAGTTCTGTGATCGGCTTCACGGCGGCGTCCCAGTAGTTGTCGAGGTGGGTTGCGCTTGTGCCAGGCCTGAAGGTGTAGTAAAGGAGGTTGCAGATGCTGCCAAAAACAACCTCGCGGATGTGTTTGCTGGTGTATTTTGACTTGATCTGGCTGCCAAGGGGTTGGTATAATGTGGGAAGAAGCTTCACGAAAGACTGGCCCTCAGTATGCATGGACCAGACGAATCGATTCCAGGCATGGTTCGCCTCCTGCTTGGTCTGCGGGTGGTCGTTATTGTTGAAGCACATCTGGATGAGCTGTAGCCATTGGTTGAAGTATTGCCAGCGGTCGAGCGGGCAGCGCATGAAGAGCATGATCACACTCCAAATCTTGGGAACGGATGCGGTCATGGTTCTGTCTTCCTTTTCCTTGGCCATGGCGAACAGTCGTCGGTGGTAGTGCTCTGCGTACTTCATCTCTTCAATGGACGCGTCAAAGAGCTCCATGACCTTCCGCGACAGCAACTTCTCCTTGCCGAACATGTAGACGGCTTCGAAACCGAGGGATATCGCCGCATTTCGCAAGTCTTTGATAGTGCTCAACATGTCTGACAAAAGATCATTGAGCCAATCGGAGTGGGCTGCCATCAGCTGCTTCGTTTGCTGCATCAACCTCCTATATATCATGATTCGGGACATGACAATGCTCTTTCCCTGCAAGTGTTGTTCGATCTTGCGGAGGGCGGCGACCAGGCGGCGGACGCGATCGGAGGTCATGACTTTCGACGAGAAGTCCTGGGTAGCGACACAGTGCATCAGGTGTCGAGCAACATCCTTTGGTGTCGACGAGTCCTCGAAGGATCGGATGCTGTGGTCCATAAAGAAAACACCGAAATCGTTGGGTATCGTTGAGGCAATAGCGGGGAAATGAAGGAACGTCGCCAATAGGGAAAGTGCGTTGTTGGTGAGAGGAACGTCGATTCCGTTAGTTGTGGGATTCTTTGATGTAATATCCCGTTGGATGAATTGGACGAAGAGGCCCATCTTGCCCTGCAGCGCAATCCGATCGGGGAGGTTGTTTGACGTCTTGAGCGTCATGACGAGTGTGGTATAAGCATCCCGCTTCGAGTCTCTGTCAGCACCCGCCAGCTGCTTGACTGTCGACTCCAACATGTCTGCGATATTTGCTGGTGTCGCCAGCGTGTCGGATTGGTTGCTGGAGTTCAGTGGACTTGGAGAAGAAGTCTGCTTAAGGATACCCTTGACAGGCTTCGGTTGCGTCGAGGACGGCGCAGAGAGCGGCGACGGCCTCGGCAAAGATTTGGCGTCAGGATAGATGGGTGCCTCGTTGTATTGTGCCTTGGCCGAGAAGCCCACGCGTTTCCTAGCTCTGCGTATGCTCGGATTCGTGGAGTCGGCACCGGAGAGGGGTGAGTACACATTCGGCGGCGTGTGCATAGGTCGAGGATCGGAGGAGGGGGGGATGACGAGAAGATGCTTCGTGGCAGCAGCATCGATAGCTTGGTTTGTCTCGCGCGGTGGTGTTGGCGGACGAGGAGGTAACGACTCGAGTCGGCTCGATACAACTTCGACAGATCCCATGATGACGGAGGAGTGATGGGGCGCCGGACACCAGCTGTCTCTGTCTTGGTCTCTATCTCGGCTGGCGCATGTGTACGTCGGACTCCTGCCAGCAGACAATAAAAGGAGCGACGGACGAATAAGCACACCAAATGCAGAGAGAACTAACGTGCAAAACCGACCCGTGCAGTAAGGAATGGCAAGCAAAGAGAGGGGATTCCAACGACAACGAGCGTATGGAGATTGACGATGAGGAGGAGACGACCAGGAGGCTGGAGCGAAGCCGTGGACGGGTACGGAAAGATTAGGTATGGAGAGCGGACCTGGAGCACTTTTCGCGGCACGACGTCCGTTCCGCGATCTCTCAAAGTGGATGAACTGGATAATTGGCTGGGGCGCTTGACGGTGCTAGACACGTCTAACAGTTCCGCGATGCACGTAAAAACGCGAGCTGGGCGCGAAAACCACTTAAAGATGTGGCCCGTGCTTGACGTGAACCCTGGTCAAATCGTTGTCTCGTTGCCTGGGGGTTGGGCGGCGACTGGCGGACCAAGTGGGGCACTGGAATGAGTGGAAACTGCAGGGTGCGTTTTTGGGATTCGCATGGCCAGTGAAAATGCTGTAGCAACGGAGGCGTTGAATGGCGCTCTGCTTAGCTAACTATCCAGCTTAGCTCATCCTTGAGCCACCCGTGCCACTGCGGCTGGTGATTGAGAAGACCCACCTCACCATCTAAACCCCCTGAAGCCGCCCGGGGTAAGAAGCAGTCCGGGCGCTGCAGCCGGCCTGTCAAGTTGCTCACGTCAACTTACTGGCGCAATGCAGCCACTGTGGCGTCCCCACGTCCTGCTTTGTGTAACAACAGTGGATCGGAAGCGCAGGAGCTGTCCAGTGTCAGGTCTCGTGGTCTGGGCCGGCTCATCCCCCTTCGTCACTGGATGATTATCCGTCACTTCAGCAGAGCTTCAATTGAAATACCTGACTGCACCAAACTGATCTTCCCCAAAAGCTAGGCTCAATCGCCCGAAAACGTCTGCTCGGAGCGTCGCTGCCGGAGCTTCCCTTTAAATCGAATCTCAACGCTGCATTGAACCTAGCTTCGGGCCATTGGGGGGCCTAGAATATCAAGCCACTTGAATCGACGTCAAGAGCCACAACCACAGACACACACCTACCCGTCCAGTTGTACGACCGTACAATCGTTTTCCGCCGAGCGCCAGAAAGACCCAAATCTTTCATCTTTCCATCTCATAGGTAATTCCATCTGTTCCTCATCTTCATCGCCATTGCCTGGCCCGTCCTCGAATGATGGTGTCTATATTGAGGAGGATGCTAAATGTCAAGGATCGAAAAGCTCGCCGAGCATCGTCACCTGCCACTACGTCCAACATCTGTGTTTCTCATACTACTCTCAGCCCCAAATCCACTACCGAGACCGGCCCCAGGACCGGTCCCCCGCGCCGCGCCATGTCCCAACCGATCCTCATGCAGGCCAACTTGACTGGCAATGGTATGCTCCTGCGGCCCATCCTGGTCTGACGAGCCTATAATTGACCGCCGTCCAGCGAAGCTCGAGGCCGTTACCAGCTTGATGAACAAGCTTGGTGAGGACCTAAAGAGCGTCAGCCTGCTTCCGCAGCGTGAGTAATTTGACTAAACTCTTCAAAGCTCTTATGGCTGATTTTAGCAGAGCGAGACGCCGCCCTGGAGGAGCTCAAGATATATGGACGGGATCCTAGAGATGCCGGCCCCATCTTTACTCCTGAGGTTTGACCTCTCATTCACAGCACTATCTTCTAAAGCTGACGCATCGCAGGGTATTGAGATTCTCACTAAGCATGCCTTCAATAGCCCCTCGAGCTCAACCTCAAGAGCTGCATTGAGGGTTCTTGCAAATGCGATGCTGCTAAACCCCCAGACCCGGCAGATGTTCGTTGATCTTGGTTATGAGGACAAAGCTTGCAAGAAGTTGAAGAGCGACAGCTTTGATGATGAATTTCTCGCCTCCAGAGTCATCTTCCTTACGACTTACGAAACGAACATTGATCTCCTTGGTCTCATCCAGAAGCACGGTCTCGCGGAGACCGTGGTAGAACAGTTGGGCAAACATGCAAAGTTACTTGCGAAGGGGCAGAACAAGTCACCCGTCGACCCTATGGAGGACATGGCGTTGAATGAGATTCTGCGCTTGCTGTTCAACGTGTCCCACTTTTGCTCCTCTGAAGCATCCGCGTTCACGGCCAGCATACCTCATATTATAACCTTGCTGTGGAAGCAGGACATCTCTCCTAAGAAGCCGCTTGACCCTCCTTTCAACTCCCTAGTCAACGCGCTTCTCAACTTGAAGCTTGAGGACGAGGATATCCAGTCGTCCATCTACCCAAAGAATGAGCCCAAGAAGGTGTCCGAGAGGCTGATCGAGCTGTTGGACCTGTCATTGAAGGCGTACACGGATAATGAGCTGGAGCAATTGACGACACCTCTCGTTGGCGTCCTGCGGAGGGTGCACGATGGTGCGCCTGAGGAAGTGAAGAAGTATATCCGCACAACTCTTCTCCCAACTGAAGAGGACAGAAAGGAGGTTCTCGGCCGTGGTACATCCCTGACGTCCAGATTGCTGCGTAACTCCACCAACCCCATGACCCCGCAACTTCGAGACGCCATCTCACACCTGCTCTTCGACATGTCCGACAAAGATGCGTCCAAGTTTGTCGAAAACGTGGGTTACGGATTCGCGTCCGGCTTCTTGTTCCAGAACAACATCCCCATTCCTGCCAATGCTTCCGAGGCATTCAGCAGCGGTGATGGCCAGCGGCATGTCAACCCCATCACGGGTCAATTCATCGACAAGGAGAAAGACGTCGATGTTCCTGAGATGACCGAGGAAGAGAAGGAGAGAGAGGCCGAGAGGCTGTTTGTGTTGTTTGAGAGGCAAGTTTACTCGTCCATACATGCAGTCCACCACGCTAACGCCCAGCAGATTGAGAAGAACAGGCATCGTGGATATTCAGAACCCGGTGGAGCAAGCTGTGAGATCAGGGCGTTTTGATGAACTGGGGGAGAACAGAGTGGAAGAGTTGGATTAATAGGGTTATGGCAGAAGGAACATGGGAAGATGAGATATAAAGCCAATATCAGGAAAGTGCCATGACGCCAATTTTGCGTGACCGCCAAATCATGCTTCGTGTCGGTCTAGACTCGGTGTGACACATCTGCTTCGAGTCTGGTGTCAAGCTGAGGCTCGATCCGAGCACTACTCGCCTTTGACACGACCAGCACCTTCTGTTGCCTAGGAAATACCTACGTACGCTGTGTTGTCCAAAAGGCTACTGGCAGTGATGTTTCGCCCAAACAAGGCCGTAGGGTGAAGCTTGGTCACCTTTTCACGTCTTCCTAGCCCGTTCCTCAATTGTTTCGATCGGCCTTAAAGGAAGAGTTGTTCTTGTATTTCCTCAAAAGCCTGTTGTGAAGCATTCTGTTTCCAACCTTTTCCCTGTGCCCTTTCCCCCCATTTCCTGACTTTTTCGCTGCTTGGGAACCTTCCCGACTGAGAACCGAGGCGGCCTCTATATTGACAGCAGGCGCGACCTTTCACCCGCTCCTGCCACCCACTCCTTCCCTCTCCTCACAAGTACCTTAGGCACAATTCACATTTACTTCTCTCACCCCACCCACCCTGCCACCAAACTTCTCCCAAAATCACTCTTAACCTGAAGGCGACTCGTAAGCACGCGACTCGCAGAGGCGTCGACGAGCATCAACCCAATAGCCTTTTTGTCACTCAACTCCTACGCCTTACCACTCCTACCATTCTTACCCCATCGATAATCATCCAAGATGTCCAGTCCGAAGCGCACGGTGTTTCAGGGACGCGAGAAGGCCATGACCCAGGAACAACTCGCCGCGCTCGCCGCCGAGGCGGCGCAACAGTAAGAACAGAACGCCCATCCCCATTTTCGGACGGAGCACTGATGGCAAGACAGCGCCGAGCAGGAAGCCGACATGGGGGATGACACCATCCCTCAGATCACGTCGGATATCATTCCAGGCATCAAAAACAATAGCTCTGATGCCGACGATGCCGCTCCCGCTCCGAAGCGCAAGCGAGGCCGGCCCATCCTGGCCCCGATGAAGATCAAGCGTGAGGACTCTGTGGTGCGTCTCGACGAGGTGGAGGCTTTTCAAGGGGGTTCGTCTTCTCAGTATGGCACTCCTCTTGGCACTCCAGAGTTGCCTGCCACGTCTCGGGCAGCGGGAAAAGCCAAGCGCAAGTTCGAGCAAGCCTCTGCCAACGATACACAAAAAGCGGGTGTCACGGTCATCTCTAGAGCACAGGCCGCCAAAAAGTCGAAGAATGAGAACGTCGACGGCCATGCTGTTAACAGCGACGAGACTGAGGACGACCCTAAGAGACAGAAAGAGTTTGAGGACGACCCTGAAAGACAGAATGGGAGTGAGAACGACGGGGAGGAAGAGAGCGTAGAGGGCAACGGCGCGGTCAATGATCAAGAGGTTCCAGTTCAGACCCCCCGTCGCGGCCGCCCCCGGAAGAACATGACGGCTGCTGAGGCTGACCCTCCGAAGCGCCGTGGTCCAGGTCGTCCCTCAAAGACCCAGACTCCTACAACGTCCAGCAAGGCCACCAGAGGCAGCATTCAGAGCAAGAGACACCGCATTTCAGCACGCCTCATGATCTTGCAAGCTAATCGAGGTGTCTCTGCAGACGAAAAACGATCTCTCCGATCTTCGGGCACAAACGCCGACGCAACCAAGAAGGTAGTTATTTCCCTTTGATTCACTCGAAACAGCTATATGTAGAGACACGGCTAACCATACTTGAAGGTCTCAAGCTCTCACACGAGAGGTGTGGCCCAGGTCAAGAAGACACCCAAGAAGCGCCCTCTTGCTGTGCGAGCTGAGTCCGAAGACGACGAATATGAGGTCGAGCGTATCGTTGGCGTTGAGCCCGCCAAGGGCAAGAAGCAGAAGAAGTACGAGGTGAAGTGGAAGGGCTACCCTAACAGTGAGAACACTTTGGAGCCTGAAGAGAACCTCGCGAACTGCAAGCACTTAATCGATGCTTTTGAGAAGAAGCAATCCAAGGCTGTCAAGAAGTAAACTTCTGACTAGCCCGGGGGTTGTCAGTTGTGGCAGCTACGTTGACGATGGATCTGGCGTTTCTGCATTACATCATGCGGCCTTGCAGTTGACTCGACAAAGGCATTTTGGTATCAAGGTCTTGCTGAATTCGGAGGTTTAACGTGGTACGCGGGGGCAACGTATCGGCAATGGGATGGTGGTCGTCGGCAGGGATGTTTGCTGAGTGGTGGCCGACTTGGCTTTTATTTCATGCAGTCTTTCTTCGTCTTTAGCTAGGACCTTAGCTCCCCGCAAAAATTTCCGACTGGTCCAATTGACTGCCACCCCTTACGTCTTTTTTCAGGGTTTATCAGTGACCTACCTCAACCCTTCCGTCAACGTGTCGTGTCAGTGTGGACGTCAGCTCAACAATCTTCGCTCGTCTCCCACCTCTCTACCAGCCCGCACCTTCCCGGCGCAAACCTCCCGGCGCAAATTTTGGAATCGCCCGCGATCCTCGATCAGATATTTCCCCAAAACACATTCACGCCACGCCGGCACAAACCCGTCCAGCCCGATTTTCACGATGGACGCCGTCCGCTCCGCCCTCCAACCTGTAACGCACAGCCTCCCCGCCCCGATCCGCGACCTCGGCGTCTCCATCATCGGCGAGCACTGCTACAAGTCCCTCCTCCTGGACATCAACGTCGAGGATGTAGACTGCATCAAGCTCGGCCTGTCCAAGGGCATCGGCCTGGGCATCGTCGGCGTCTCCAGCATCGTCAAGCTACCGCAGATCCGCAAGCTCACCTCCTCGCAATCCGGCGAGGGCATCTCCGTGCTCTCCTACCTCCTCGAGACCGCCTCCTACCTCGTCTCCCTCGCCTACAACTACCGCAATCAGTTTCCCTTCAGCACGTACGGCGAGACAGCGCTCATCATGGGCCAGAACGTCATCATCACCGTCCTCGTGCTCAACTACACCGGGCGCGCGGGCCTGGCGGCTGTCTTCGTCACTGCTCTGGCTGTCGCGATGGGCGCGCTCTTCGCCGGAGGTCTGGTTGATATGCAGACGCTGGGATACCTCCAGGCCGGCGCGGGCGTGTTGAGCGTCGCGAGCAAGGTTCCCCAGATTCTTGCGATTTGGTCCGAGGGCGGCACTGGACAGCTCAGCGCCTTTGCTGTAAGTTTCCTCTCTCTTTTCTCTCGCGCAGTAGGCATGAGGCTAATCAACTGTTCGCTCAGGTCTTCAACTACCTCCTCGGCTCCCTCTCCCGCATCTTCACCACCCTCCAGGAGGTCGACGACAAACTCATCCTGTACAACTTCATCGCGGGCTTCCTGCTCAACGCCGTCCTCGCCTCCCAGATGGCGTACTACTGGAACGCGCCCTCCGCCAAGGCTAAGGGCAAGCAGAAGGTCCCCATCGCCGCGGCCCCTGGCATTGCCGCGCCGTCGGCTACCTCGACTGCCACGTCCAAGAAGGCTCCCACCACACGCCGCCGCGGTTAAGCGATGGATTCGCAGAGTAGATCATTGAGACGGTGGATGTTGGTAGATACAATGCTGTTAATATGTAATGCAGAGCACATTTCTGAAAGACTTTCTGTGTGGTTTGCGTGAGTGAGTGTGTGTGTGTGTGTGTGTGTGTGTGTGTGTGTGTGTGTGTGTGTGTGTTGGCTTTGTCAGGCCAGGACGTCTTGCAACGTCTGGTTTGTCTGAATGCAATCTGCTTTGAGTTGGCAACTAAATGTATAAGAAGGCGTGAACATTGTACGAGACCTCACTCATAATCGATTGACTCAAGAACCATCTCAGTAGCTTGGCAAGTAAACAACATTATTGGTCTTCGACTTGTAGTCTGAAGGAAGTTTCAAGATTATCAAGGCCGTGCCGCGTGTGTATTTCATCTCAAGGCTACTCAGTATACTATAAAGATACCAAATCCGGAAGGCGAAACAGAGAAGACGGCAAAAGCAGGAAATGAGCTGAGCAACGCCCTTGAGCTTCGTTAGCCCTTGATAGGAAATCTTCAGCATGTTACGAAAAAAAGAATCAGGACTAGGCGGTAGTACGACGCCTGATTTGCGTCGCTTGGATATCCTAAGGACCAAGCATGCACGTTTTATATCGAAGTACCAACGGTATGCCTTCAACATTGGGTGGGCACTACTTTAAGGTGTAGTCAGGGTCGCTCGAGCGGTCCTGCCTAGAACAAACTTCAACGCCAACTACCGCTCCGACGTCGATGCTTCATTCCTGACAGCTTTCCGCCTCATCTCAGCCAGTACTTAAGCAACTCCTTACTGAAAGGGATCATCACGCCAGAGATGGAGGATTGGAATTGCAGTTGTAATCTGCTTGTTCCCCAACAGTATGCGCGTGCGTTTGACCGCTAACTTGTTTCCACGATCCTAACGTTGGGAAAGAGAAGAAGAATTGATCGTCAACGCTGTCTTCAAGTTCCGTATTTTTGGACTTATTCGCGACAAATATTATCCAGACGATCGCTGCATACAAAGTACTCGCCGAAGCTCTGTAAATTTACAAGTTCGTCTTGGATATACCCAATAACAAAAGCTTTCTTTGGCCTTGGGCAAGACAAAAGATGGATATAAGCTGGATAATTGAGCCGGTAAAGCTTAGTATGGGTGTGTCTGAAACTTAAGTACCTTATCCCTAAAGTCATCTCTCCCAACCCAAATTGTCAAACGTCTCGCCGTAGCCTTGAAGGTGCCCCTACTAGTATTCAGAGGAGGGCTGGATCATCTCTTGAATAGGCGGCAATAGTAGGGCATCAACGCGAAGCTGAATGGAAATTGTACTGGATGCATCCGTTCGTCTCAGGCTGCTTCAGCGACTGTTCAACGAGCACTTGCAGCACAATGGATGTTTCATACATCAATTGGATTCACTGTCCGCCATGCCCTCCCTCGAAAGAGAGGGCCATTACGCAACTTCGGAGGTCGTGGCCGGGATGGTTGGATTGAGTACTAGGTGTTCTAATGTTCTCCCACTGCAACGAGAAATAAGCAGCTGAAACGACTTTTCGATTGCTGAATTCATTCTACCAATTGAGTACAATGTCTGGCTGTTGGAATGCTGAACAGAAGCCCCTATTCTTAAAAACAATCCTGCGGATATCCCAGCAATTAGAAGGCAGTGAGTTTCGCAAGTTGGTCCTTGAAGGCTGTTGGGTTATCAAAAGGCGTTCCTTCATAAATTGCTTGATAATTGATGAAGTACGGGGGCTGTAAGGGGCAAGATACACTGCCCAGAATTCGAGCATTCCGATCAAGTGAGAGAAAACACACGAGTCTTCATCATTCGCCATGGCGAAATGGGGGCATGTCACGCACATATGCAGGCTTCAGACGGATTAGAAACTGTCGTTCAGTGTCCTCATCATCAGCGCACACGCCGAATGGTCTTGTGATGATAGACACGGACGGCAAAGAGATGCTAACAACGTGGCCGAAGTCGGCAGGTTGGCCTTGAGGCCTCACGCAAGACCCGAGGAGTGACAAGACCCAAGATAGGGTATGATGCTTTGAAAGCTCATTTTTCGCTGTCAACCATTGCTTCGCTACTGTCTCCAGGCCACTGCCCTGGCTGAAGCAAGCAATATTTAAATGAATATGGCTTTGACAACAAGGCACATATAAATTTAACAAAGGCTTGAGACAGATTCCCACTCTCTAAGTCACAACGTCCACTTCGACATGATATCACAGCAGACGCCAGTGTGCGTGGTCACTGGTGTTTGCCATCATTGGTTTGGAACTACAAGGATGTTGAGTTCAGCTGCGAATGTTTTGCAATCTTTGGCGGCCAGTCGCATGTCCGAATGCGGATTCCGCAGTCCGTTATCTTTCTCACCGTATTCCACTTCGGCATTGCTGCATGACTCCTCGCCATGTGTGGGCTTAGGTCACCATTCTATTTTCGTTTACGTGGGCCTGGCAGCTCGCGACCATGCAGCAGCTCAATGAAACCGGCAGGAGCTACCGATTCAAGGTCAGGACGACGTCAAACGGAAAGCGCAGTTGTAGGTTCAGGTTGGGCGCCTTTCCACGCGGCGCTTGGTGGGTCGCTCAGGAGGAACTCCACGAGGCAAGAAGCAGAGCAATTCACAGTGTTACGTATGACGTAGCAGACTCAGCAGGGCTTGCCGTTTGAGGAACGTGGGCTGCCTTATACAAGAGCCCAGATTTGTGTGGCTTCGCGGGGCGCGATGGTTTTTCTGCGCCGCTGTTAATGACGTCCGCCCCGAGTTCGAGAGACTGAGAACCGCTGCGGCCATTCTCAGACGTAGATGGCGTCAAAGTGCAGGACTCGGTATGCAGGCTAGAATTCCGCAGAGTCGTGCTGATTCAAGGCCTGGGTCCTCGCGTGGAAGCCATCACAGCAGGGTCTGCTGTCAGGTGACTTCACGGAGCGCGCCAGAGCTTGTGTTCCGCCGCGAGAAGAGCAAATATCTTCGCCGGTAGCTTCACATGCAAATACACTGGGAATCATGGAGACGAGAAACGAAAAAATTGTGTGAACAGAACCGTCGATTGAGTTGAGACGGGGAGGGTCAGGAGCCTCCCCTCTCCTGAACGAGGCCGTAGCCTGAAGTATTCGCGAACCAAACCAGAAACCAGAACGAAACGAGCCAACCGAAAAGAACCAGACCGCCGACCAAAACCCATGATAACTAGGTATGCCCGTAG